AACTAATAATTGATACTTTGAAATAGGAAAAGGTCCAAAGGGGTAGGGGTGGTGGGAGGGGAAGGGGAAAGGAAAGAATGGAAAGGAAAAACTATGAGAAAAGAAAAAATAAATGGAAATGATGTCTATGTAAATAAGGAAGGGTGTGGAGGGGGTGAAGGGTGCACAGGTAATGGGGAAAAAATAGGAACCAAGATACATCATGTACAGGTACAAACACCCAAAGATAAATGAAAAAGTATTGTATACCTAAAATGTACCAATAAAAGAATTTAAGGGAAAAAAATAAATAAAATTTTGAAACAGTCAAAAAAAAAAAAGAATTGGGGGAGCAGGAAAAAAAAAAGAAAAGGGACTTAAGATAAATAAGAGTAAGAAGATATGAGTTCTTTGACTTAGAAACGTGCACATAGAATTGTATGAACCAAGATGACGTTCTTCTTGTCCCCAGAAAACGTTAATTCACAGGCGGCCACGTGGTAGTGTACATCCCTTGGTAAAGCACATGAGTAGCTGTAAGGCCACTGCTCAATAAGGGAGGCACCACATTCTAAGACTCTTACCTCCCACACATGGAGGCTTGGGCAATGGAACCAGAGAATAAATAGGAGGAGACAGGCAGTAATTTCCTCCAAGTAGTTTTGTATCACTGAAATCACATACTATTAAATAGATTTTGTGGGTCTTTAAAACAGCAAATATTGGCTGCCCTCACAGATAAGGCATTTGATCGGCCATTCTAAACAAAATAAGGCAAGCTTGTGCATCTTCCTAAAATTTATATAAATAAGTTTCAGTATGTGTTAAGTCAAGATCAGACATCAAAATGAATAGGCGATATCTATAAATATTCAGTATCATTTCATTTTCAGGCTGTTTACAAGGCTGACCTTGAGTGGCTGAGAGGCATCGGATGGGTTCCCATTGGCTCTGTGGAGGTCGAGAAGGTGAAGAGAGCTGGGGAAATCCTGAGTGACAGGAAGTACCGCCAGCCTGCAGACCAGCTCAAATTCACGTGCATTACAGACACCCCGGAAATGGTCCTAGCAAAGAACAACGCCCTCACAATGAGCAAGGTGAGTCCTCAGCTGTTTGCATTGTCAGAGGCATACCTGTCGTGGACTCATCTCGTAAGGTAAAAATTGCTCTGATGGGTCTCCACAGAAAGGAGAGGGAATGGGCCTGGTCCTCCTACAGGCCTGCAGCAGAGCGTCTGCGTGAACTGTCATTGGCTGTCTCTGGCCTGCTCAACACAGGCCTCTAATTCTCCGTGTGCACGTGAAAACGTAGCCTGGCACCAGTTCCCTAGAGTAACACACACCCCCTCCTGAGCTACCAGCCAACCCAAGACATCAATCAGCATTACCTTCTTTATGCAGAGCCTACCCAGTATGTTGGTTTTTCCCTATCCACACCACACACAGCATTTCACAGCAGCACTAATATGCAGCTCAAGTTAGTTGCCTGATTTGCTCTCTCATCTCAGACTGTAGAAATCCAGTTTTGAAGGAAAGCTGCTATTGTTGCTTTCAGTTTTATTACACAAATAAGTGATCACTTTTTTCCATCAGAATTCTATCCATTTATTCTTTATGCAGTGAGTAGGCTCTTAGTGTGCACACTGTAAACTGAACTGAACTGAATTCTCCCACCCCTGCCCAGAAATCTTCATATCATTCAGGTAGTGAAATTGAATGCTTAGGGCAGAATAGAAAATGTCTGCTCTCAGATTGCAAACTCCAGAGTTTGCTATATAAAACCCCAGAAACTATATAATATCATTCTCACCAACAATCATCACAAAGACATCAACAATAGAAAACAATCCCCTCAAAAAAATCACTGAAGACCTCCTACGACCCAGGTATTTTGCATATTATATTAATTAAAAATACTCAATACAAAAGGCATGATTATCACCCATTCTGAAATGAGAAATATGAGGAGCTATGTATCTTTCTCAAGATCACATGGCTTGGAAATAGTTTGAACTTGAGATTGAACTTGAGATTGACTCTGGCATCTAGAGATTTCTACTGTATCATAGCTCTGTAACCAAGCTCCGTCTTTAGACATCCTAAGAGTAAGTTTGTGATTCACTGGATGAAAGAAACTAATAATTAGACCATTATGTTGCTTCACATTAGCTATGAAACTAGTGTATAGCTGTTTGAATAGTCCCTTGATTTACTCTCCACTCCCCTTTTGCTTCCCTCACCTCCAAGTAACCTGGAAAGGACCTATTTTATAATTAAATGTGAGTTAAATTTGAAAATAACTGCAACATGGCTGGCTTTAACCAAAGAGTCTCTTCCGCCCTACCCTCCGTAGCATTTGTACACAGAAGCTTGGGATGCTGACAAAACCTCCATCCATGTGATGCCAGACACCCCAGAAATCCTGCTGGCCAAGAGCAATTCTGCCAATATTAGCCAAGTAAGAGCTTTTCGGATTGTTGTTTAAACCTTGATAGAAGTCACTAAAATGTTTCTTCCACTTTGAAAATTCCTTCTTTGGCACTGGCCTACTAAATTTTCTAAAACAATTTTACTTTCTGTTTTTAGTTTTGTTTCTGTTTTTGTTTTCCATTACTGGGGAGAGAACTCAGGACCTTGCACTTGCGAGGCAGGTTCAGCACCACTGAACTAAATCCCCAGCCCTTTATTTTCTGTTGTGTTCCATCCTCTGCTTAGAAACTTTATACCAAAGGATGGGATGAATCAAAGATGAAGGACTATGATCTGAGACAAGATGCTATTTCCATCAAAATTGCCAAGGCCTCCAGGGACATCGCCAGTGATGTGAGTGCTTCTGTCTACTCCCTTGGTCCCCACAGTGTTAGGCAAACTGATGGGCCACACTTGCAATTGCTTCCACATGTATTCCCCAGGCTTGCTTCCTGCCTTGCAAGAATTTTCTCTTGGTTATCACAGAGAAGAAAAATACAGTTTTTGAATTAGAGTTGCTGTAGAAAAAGGTCCCGACCAATGAAGAACATAATTATAGTTATTTTTATGATAATATGAAAGGTTAGTATAAAAGTGTTCAGAGGCAGGCATGGTGGTGCACATCTGTAATCCCAGCACTTGGGAAGCTGAGGCAGGAGGACCACCAGGAGTTCAAGGCCAACCTGAGCTATATAGTGAGTTCAAGGCCAGCCTGAACTACATAATGAGACTCTGTCTCTAAATATATAGAGACCCTGTCTGTAAATATATATTTACATTTGTTCTGAAGTGTCAAAAGGTTTGAGGTATGAAATTCTTGTCCATTTCATGTTGCTTGTAATTGTCAGCATGAGCATGGTCCTAAAACTGGATTTCTAAGCCTATATTTCTGTCATTTTAGTACAAATACAAGGAAGCATATGAGAAACAGAAAGGCCACCACATTGGAGCCCAAAGCATTGAAGATGATCCCAGGATTATGTGTGCTATACATGCAGGGAAGATCCACAGTGACAGGGAATACAAGAAGGAATTCCAGAAGTGGAAGACTAAGTTCAGTAGCCCAGTGGACATGTTGGGCATCTTGCTGGCCAAGAAATGTCAGACTTTGGTCAGTGATATTGATTATCGCAACTACCTGCATAACTGGACGTGCTTACCTGACCAAAATGATGTTATCCAAGCAAAGAAGGCCTACGATCTGCAGAGTAATGTATGTACCATGAACGGTGGAAAGGCAAAAATGGAAAGGCATAGATTTGTTCATTTTCCAGTCAGTTCCTTTGAGGGCAGACCCATATATCTGCGTAACCTGGATGGGCGCAGGGCACCATTCATTTTATTCAATACAAAACCCATATTCAGAGTTATATCACAGGAAGCAAACTACAGAGATGAAGAGCCCTACTGAGGTCATGTCCTTTATTTCCTGGCCTTGATTCCAAACTGTTTTCTTTATGTCATTTGTAATTTCTAGCAATGAGAATATAAAACATGTAAGTTTTTTAAATTGCCATTGCTTTGCTAAATCTAAAATTCTGCACACTATTTCATTGGTTCAGTTATTACAAGATTAAAATGGACTGAGATTCAACAACATTTCCCTTTAAAATTTTTTCAAGTATGAAATTTTTTGAAATGTCAATTATATCATAGAATTCATTATTAATTATATTCATAGCTAATATAAATTATGCTTCTACAAATTACTTCTGCCATCAATATTAAAAATCTCAAGTCATATAAGATCTTGGGTCTTACTGTCTTACTGTCTTACTATCTCCAGTGCAACCCCAAGTACTTTATTTTGCAGCTTAGGAATGAGATGTCTAACATGTGGAACAACATTTTTTTCTAACATCTTTGCAGAATGTGTACAAAGCAGACCTGGAATGGCTGCGTGGCATTGGCTGGATGCCAGAAGGCTCTGTAGAAATGACCAGAGTCAAGGGTGCTCAGGATCTGGTGAATGAAAGGCTCTACAGGACGCCACGAGAAGCCTTGAAATTTACCTGCATTGTGGACACTCCAGAAATTGTCCTGGCAAAAACCAACTCTCTGCAAATGAGTGAAGTAAGCACTAGCTTACTAACAAGCTTTTATTTTCCTGGACTCCATATTCAGATATGGCAGTGAAACCAAGCAAGTAGATTACTCTCTTCAAACAACTATGTTGATGGGTGCAATTCCAAAAGTCTGACTAGCAGTGAATACACGCAAAGTAGAATTCTGACAAATGCAATGTGCCTTTACCCTCCCATGCATACTTTGAAACATTAAAATGAAAAATATCACTCCATGGTAATTCAGGGAAATAAATATTTACTTCCTATTAATACCAAGATATGCGACATAATACCATGTAATAAATGTTATAACATTGTATGGGTGTGGATTCCTTAGAAAAACAGATTCATTAGGGTGTACAAGGGATGACTAAAAATACACAGTGAATGTTTAAGTCATTAAAAATTCATTATAGTGAAAGACACATTGTAATTAGTCCTCCTCATCATATCCTCTTGCCACTTTCTGAAGCAGTTCTGAAAGTCTTCTTTTGTGAGTGCCTTTCTGAGGTGTGATCAAACATACAGTGAATGTGGCTGCTACTGAGTACCATCCAATGGAAAGGTAGGCTTATAAAAATGGTATCATATATCCTCATCCATCTTATTCACTGAATCTGGCACTGTGCAACTTCCGGCTCTTCCCCAAAGTCAAAATGCCCATAAAAGGTAACCATTTTGAATCTATTCAGATCACTGAGGCAGCCACAACAGTGCAACTAAAGACGCTCATGAAAGAGGACTTCCAGAACTGCTTCAGAAAGTGGCAAGAATGATGGAATAATTGTGTTCAAAGCAAGGAGGTGGGGGGTATTCTGAGGAGGGGTTAATGGCAGTGTGTCTTTTACTGTAATAATTTTTTAAATTTATACATTCATTGTATGCCTTAGTCACACCTTATACTGTACATATAAATAGAAAGAGAGGGAAGGAGAGGGAGAGAGACTGAGATTTTAAAGAATTGATTCGTGTAATTGCTCAGCCTGGTAAGTCAAAAATCTGCCAGGTAGGCCAGCAGGTTAGAAATCCAGGGAAGAGCTGCAGTTCAAGCTCAAAGTCAGCCTGCTAGCAGAATTTCTTCTTGGCTTGGAGAGGTCAGGTATTAAGGCTTTCTTTCAACTGATTGGATGAGGCCCACTCACACTGAGGAGAGTACTTTGCTTTATGTCCGTGACTTAAGTGTTAATTGCGTCTGAAAAGTACCTTCACAGAAACATTCAGAATAATGTTTGACCAAATATCTGTGCATTATTGTCTAGCCAAATAAATAAGCATTTATAGGGACATTTTTTTCAGACAAAGCAATTGCTAAGGCTTAGTATTTCAAATATTCATTCTCTATCACTGAATTAAAGTGACAATTTTTTTCTCTCTACAGAAGCTGTATCAAGATGCCTGGAACAAAGATAAAACCAACATCTCCATCCCTTCAGATACTCCAGTCATGCTGCAGGCCCAAATCAATGCCTTGCAAATCAGCAATGTAAGAGGCATGAAGATGTAATGTAAAAGCCTTTATGGGACCGTACTTGTCAGTGTCTGTCAGAGTTAGGAGTATGTGACAGAGTACACATTACCTACCTTAGAAATAGTCATGGTTTTTTTGTGCTACACTTTTTTAGCTATCATTCCCAAAGCAAATCAGTGGAAATTTTTTTCTTTCAAATGTTAGCACAGACATATGCCTAAGTGCCTAGACTGTGGAAGTTGGGAGATGAGAATCCTTCAGTGTTTTCCTTCCAACCATTTTGTTTTTCAACACTAGGGATTGAACACAGGATCTCATATTGTATGCTAAGCAAATGCTCTATCACTGAGCTACATCCCCAGGCCTTGTCTATTTTATTTTGAGACAAGATCTTACTCTGTTGCCAAGCTGGCTTACAGTTTGCAATCCTCCTTTCTCAGCTTCCCGAGAAGCTGGGATCACCAACACATCCCACCATGCCCAGCTTCCTTTCAACTTTGAAATCATCCCCCTCCCTGAATCCAATGTCTACGGCTCAGTTTCTTTATTACCTGGGAGTAATGAAACCCTGATCAAACACCTCCTGGCTTTCATCCTCTCTTGTCTTTTTTGGTCTTTTGAGTGACTGAGGACTTTCTTGCAAAGAAAGCTGTATGAAAGACAAAAGACAATTTTAATTACATCCAAAGAATAGAATGATATACATGATACCTATGTTACATTCCTTTAACAGAAACCTATGGTGGGTCAAAGATCAAAATTAGGAAAAATTCTCAGATCTTCTCTTGTACCTTGATGAAGGATCTCTGGCTTTATCATAGATTCTTAGTTTCAATGTGCTATGCAGTGGAATATTTTCAAGTGTATACCATATTGTAATGAATATAAATATTCAAACATTAATAGAGTTAGATGTTTAGTTTAAAATTTTAATCAGAAGTATCCTATATTCTATAAAGAGCTGATTTTTCTGTATGTTTCCTTCTTAACATTGTGGCTTATAATTTATATATAATTAGCTTGAATGTATTTGCTTATTCTCAATTCTTACAAGCACACCCGTGCTTTTCCTCAATAGAAATTGTACAAAAAAGACTGGGATGAGACCAAGCAGAAAGGCTATGACTTAAGAGCAGACGCCATTGAAATCAAACACGCCAAAGCCTCCAGAGAAATTGCCAGTGAGGTAACTTCCTTCTATTTTCTTTCTCCTCTATGAAGCAAATAGGGCAACTATTTTTCAAGAATTCTTATTTTTAAAATAAGAACCAAGATGCATCATGTAAAGGTACAAGTTCCCAGTGAGAAATGTAATTGTGTTGTATACCTAAAATGTACCAATAAAAGAATTTAACAAACAAAAAAAAAGAACTCTGATTTTTAAATTCATGCAACAGTTGCATTTTTGTCTTGTGCTGGTCTTTCTATATTTAAAAATATGAAAATAGGATAACATTGTATGGGTCAGGATTTCCTAGAATCACAGACCCAACAGGAGGTATGTAAATAAAGTTTCCATTGTTTCTCAGTAAAAACAAAAAATCATGAAGAATCCCTATGAAAAAGTTTTGAAAATTCAATAACCAATATATCATTTTGTTCCCCAGCTACATCTATGTGTATAGATATAGTTTCATATCTGTTAAGACTTACGACTGAAATCATGCCTTATGTAAAATATCACTTTATACTGAAAGTTTATGTGAAATACTTTTAGTAACATTTTCAAGTTCCTTTAACACTAATTTTGCAACTTATTAACGGTCAAAATTATTATCCTGCCAAGAGTACCCCTACTCTCCATTGAAAATCCTTAAGTTTGTTTCTTTTTTCTGGCTCCTCTTTATTTTTATCTCATGTCTCCAGAAGTTTCCTTTTTATAATTCTTCATTTTGACCTGTAATAACTAGTAACCATCACTGGTTCACAGTGACCTCCTTAATCCTAGTTTTTCTTTCTCTCTCTTCTGTCCAGAGTTTCCTGTGTTGTCCAAACATAGGAAAGAAAAGGACACCATCTTACTCCAGTCCTAAGATGCTCATCAGATAGAAACTCTTGCCCACAGACCTTTTTCTATCTTCTGATTTTCCTTTTCTGTCCCTGAAATGTACCTATTTCTTACCTGTTTCCAAAACCACGCCTGTGAATTTTTCCCACCTGCAGTACCTTCAGTACCCATGGAAGCACATCTGGCCTAAGGTTCCACTAACTAGGCAACCTGGGCTATCCTCGCCATACCTTATTTTTTCCATCTGCAACGTGGGATAACAATAGTACCTCCCTCATAGAGAGGTTGTGAGAATGAACTGTGATTATAATTGCTGCTGTTCAACTCTTTTTGAATGAAAAACAGTTTCATATGAATTCACCCTAACACATTTGAAGCTCTAATAATGTATAGCATATAGTGATTGCTCTGTAAATACTAGCTATTATTTTTATTATTTTTGTTCTCCATACTATTTCCTTCTTGATTTATTCATTTCTTTAAAAAAAAAAAAAAGCTACCTAAAACAGTCATCATTTCTTTAAAGTTAACTGAAATATATAGACTACTAGTGTTGAGCTAATTTATATTAAGGTTAAGAAAATGTCCTGAAATCATTTGAAGAAAAATCTTAACATGATATCTTTCTATGTCTTTTTATCTGTTTTTCACAACTTTAGTACAAATACAAAGAAGGCTACCGCAAGCAACTAGGCCATCACGTGGGTTTCCGCACCTTACAAGATGACCCCAAGTTGGTATGGTCTATACATGCTGCCAAGATCCAGAGTGACAGAGAATATAAGAAAGCTTATGAGAAGTCTAAAGGAATTTACAACACACCCTTGGACATGATGTCAATTGTTCAAGCCAAGAAATGCCAGGTCCTGGTTAGCGACATTGATTATCACAATTATCTGCACCAGTGGACATGCCTACCAGATCAGAATGATGTGATCCAGGCTAAGAAAGCCTACGAACTGCAGAGTGATGTGCGTATTTTCTATCAGCAGACTCTAGAGAGAGATTTGTGTGTTTAATCACAGTGTATTCTCCAGAAGCATAACTTAAATGATAATCTTAACAGAACCTTGTACTGTCTCCTGTACAATTCATGGTAGTAGAGAATCTTTAAAAACATTTTCTACCTTACAAAGATTCTTATGGTAGCAGAACCTTATTCACCAAGATGAAAATCAGGCTCTTACTCTATGCAATTAGAAGTTTTCAATCCCAGCTGTTAGGATTCATTATCCTTTCTTGATCAGATGTTTAAATTTCAGAAATAGGCATAAATTTAAGGAAATACTGATTTCAAGTTTATCTGACACAGAAAGATAAATATAGACATAAGTATGTGTTTTTTCTTATTACACATACATCTAAGGATCTTTCTCTCTAAAATTCCTACAGATCTTATTCCCAGTGGTTCATGAAATGTGGGCTTCAAATGGTGAGCACAGGAGCTCAGCCTAACCCTAACCCTAAATTAGGTACCAGTGCTGTCTATCATTCCACCAAGTGCCACTTGTGAACCCTGGTTCAATTCCCATAGGGTGCTGTGAACTGCTAGAGATGTGTGCTGCAAACCTGAAACCCAAATATTGGCATTTCATGTCATCCTTGAATTCCATTGACTGGCCACCCAGATGATTTAAATAGAGATGGTGGGTGGTTAGCAAACATCAAGCTCTGTGGACAAATTTGATTCTCCCTCACTGTTTGTTCCTTTCCGCCATGTAGAACATGTACAAATCAGACCTGGAATGGATGAAGGGTATCGGATGGTTGACAGAGGGTTCTGTGGATGTGCTGAGAGTAAAGAATGCTCAAAATCTTTTGAATGAAAGGCTGTATCGTACAAGACCAGAGGCTCTCAAATTCACCAGCGTTGTTGATACACCTGAAGTGATCCTGGCAAAGACCAATGCTGTACAAATCAGTGAGGTAAGCTGGATTGGTGACGTTTTCAGATACACTGAAGTAATCTCAACCAAGAAGAATTCTAAATGTTAACTTCAAACTGCCAATATCATAGTGTTACGATCAACTAGTTATCTCTGTATTTTATTTGCTTTGATTTATCTTTGTTCAACACAAGTGTGTCCAGATTCTCATATATACTTAAATCACCGTTTGAGATTCAGACCATAATAAGGCCCACCACTTAACTCCGTAATCACAAAATTGTCACCATTTTTTATGGCTATTCAATCGTGAAATAGGTTGAGAAGTCCAGAAGCAATCTCAATAGTTGCATACTACTCGGACAGCTATTTGAGCCAACAGAGCAAAGTCCTGATTAGCAGTGTGGATTAGCAGTTATCTTTGAGGTAGACTTACCTATCAGAAAATTAGACATGAATGAATGGAAAATGATGATTTTACTACCAAATAAATGAATCATTTTAAATTTATGTTTCACATACGAATGTATTCTTGAAGTCACTTGGCACCTTTTAAATAAAAAAACACAAAATGACAAAATGTAACATACATTTATATTAGAGGACATCCAAAGATAACTTGTAACTTAGTTTAAAATTTTATTCATGTAGATAAAGAAGATGTGTTTTTTTTTAATACAGTGGAGTACTACTCTGGCGTAAAGGATAAATTTAAGACATTTCTAGGTAAATGGATGCATCTTGAGACCATACTCTTAAGTGAAATAAATTGGATGCACATTTTTAAACATTGCATTGTTTCTCTGGTGTGCAAAATTGAAGGGGTAAAGGACCAAAATGTATAATAGATATGTGAAATAGGAAGAAAATGTTCACATGGGAAGGGGAACTAGGGAGGGGAGAGGGAGAAAGGAAGGAAGGAAAAAGAAAAAATGAGAACAGAAGGAAAACAATGGAAACAAAACTTTTGTAAATAAGAAGAGGGAGAGGGGTTGAAAGGAGGGTAAGAGAATGGGAAAAGAAAGATATATCATGTACAGGTACAAATTCCCTATGATAAATGTTATTATGTATATCAAAAATGTACCAATAAAATTAAGTTTAATAAATAAAATTTTATCCATGTGATTTAGTAATCAACCACTGCATTGCCTTTCATTTTTGCCAGCCATTGTATCGTGATGCCTGGGACAAAGAGAAGGCTAATGTGAATGTGCCAGCTGACACTCCTGTGATGCTGCAGTCCAAACTCAATGCTATCCAGATCAGCAACGTAAGGCACTGTTCATACACTGGCTTCGCAGTGCTCTCTGTGTACCCAGAAACTTTCTCTACATACTCAAAAGAAAACTTGACAGAAGGCATTTTTCTACCATTCCTTTTATTTCTAGTCTTTAAGCTTATGATAAGTAGCTGTGTAGATGTGTGTGTGTGTGTGTGTGTGTGTGTGTGCACGTGCTTATATAATGCAGACTCCTTAGCCCTGTCTTCAGATTGACCACGGCATTGCAATCTCCATTTTCAGAAACACTATCAGCAAGCTTGGGAAGATGTCAAGATGACAGGTTATGACATACGAGCAGATGCTATTGGGATCCAGCATGCCAAGGCCTCCAGGGATATCGCCAGTGATGTAAGAGCTCTTCCTTGCCCCACCTCAACAGATGCTAACTAGTAGACACAAAAGCAATTTAACTTAATTATTCAGGACTTATAATTAAATAGAATGCATTCATTATTACTTGTATATTATTTAAAAATCCCAAATTTCAGAACAACTTGTTTAACAATTTAAGAAGCCTCTTGCACCTACGTTTGCTTCTACAATTCTTATGTATAAGCACTGATTTTGATTTTTTTCTCCCAAATATTCTCAATATTCGCCAGTTTACAAGCACACATAGAGACCTAATTGAGCACAGAGAATTCTGTTGCTACTCAAAGTGTACCGTGCATACTCTTGGTGGTTGCTGAGATCATTTTATATGATACACCAGTAATTATATCTTAAAGTAGCTACATGTCAAAGTGTACCATGCATACTATTGGTGGTTGCTGAGATCATTTTATATGATACACCAGTAATTATATCTTAAAGTAGCTACATGATTGTTTTAATGTGTGCTAGAAAAATACTGATGGTCTTTCCATTTAGATAGGTAGGGTTATAAATTTAAAATAAAATTTTAAAATAAGCTTATAATTTAAAATAGATTTATTTAGCCAGAATTAATTTGATTTAAAGCAATATAAAGTACAGGTTGTACTCGTTTACGGCAAAATATCTGAAGGTGGCAAACAATGATTGAAGTTTGGGGAACACTGGATGAGGTTGTGCTGGAAGATGATTCAGAAGCACAGATCTTGCCTTAGAGGTGCTCATAGTATTTTCAAACATGTACACATAGAAGAAAAGCCAACGTAACAAGAAGTATAAAATATAAAGTATGAATTTAAAGAAAAACAACCACCCAAAATAAAGATAATCTAAGGGAAGTGGAATTATTTTTAATAGTCTCTTTAGAAAAAGTAAGTTTGGAAACCACTCTTCCTTCTTCTGTTCGTGCCTACTAGTATCTGTACAAGACTACTTACGAGAAGCAGAAAGGCCACTACATCGGATGTCCCAGTGCCAAGGAAGATCCAAAGTTGGTTTGGGCAGCAAATGTGCTGAAGATGCAAAATGACAGGCTGTACAAAAAAGCCTACAATGACCACAAGGCCAAGATCTCCATCCCAGCAGACATGGTGTCCATCAATGCTGCCAAAGAAGGCCAGGCATTGGCAAGTAATTTGGACTATCGTCAGTACCTGCACCAGTGGTCTTGCTTCCCTGACCAGAATGATGTGATCCAAGCCCGAAAAGCCTATGACTTGCAAAGTGATGTAAGTGTGTCCTCAGGAGGAAAGCTTGGCATGCTGGCCCTTTACAGTGCCCTGGAAAACACCTCTCTTCATATAGGAAGTTCCTTTTAGTATTTAACCAGATTTATTGATTGCTTATCTTAACTGCCATATTTGCTCAGAAAGTTTTCATTTTCAGGCTACCAAATTTTTTCTATAGGTTTTTGGGTATGTATATTATTTATAGTTTACTAGTTATAAGAAATCATGGTCCTTGAACTTTATATTAAAGAAGGACACGGATGTCTTCCTTGAAATTAATTTCACAGGTTGGTACCATGCTCTAAACTCACTTGTTTCCATTAACTAGATGTTCTTCACAACATGGCGTGTCATTAATTTACCCCAAAATTTTTAGACTTACTTATATTTTATACCTATTCAATCTTTTAGAAATGATGGATTCCATAAAGTTATTTAGTTCTTGTGTAGAATGGATACTTTCTTTTAATTATTTGAACCTGATTTCCTTGTACTTCAAGAGATACTTTTCTTTTTCTTAAATAACAAATTAGCTTGTTATAGGCCGCTATGCTCATCACTTGAAATGAATTGCAGGTGGTAGAGTGGTAGTAGACAGTTCTTCATGAACTGCAAGCTCTTCGTTAACTTGAACCATATTCAGTAAACTGAGGCATGTGTATCAATCACATTCTTTTTTTTTTTTTTCGATACTGGGGATCGAACTCAGGTCCTTGCACTTGCGCAGCAGGCAGCAAAACCACTGAGCTAAATCCTCGGCCCTCAATCACATTCTTGTACAATTCTTAAAAATATCTTACAATCTGTATGTAACATTTGAATTCCTTCTTCTGGATTTTGAAGACACATCATATTAAACACTAAAACATACATCATTCTTCCTTAAAATATTTTCCAATATTTTTCTCTCTTTTTACTATTATTTTCATCTGATATTTGTACCCTATAACTAACAAATGAAATATTTCTGAGCAACATACTGGCTTTTTATAAAATTAATAACTTGTGTTTAGCGTAGAACAATTTTATCTGCTTAACTTTTTACCTTTATGTGGGGAAGCAGATTTAGATAACCAAAATTTTGCAAATCTCTATTAAAAGGGACATGCTATGTTAGATTAAAGCAAATTCAGTTGAGACCAAAATTGTGGGCTGGTGATTGAATTCTTTTTTACCGAGGCAGGTTCCCACTGTGTTGCCAAGAGTAGCTTCTCACTAAAGTGATCCTTCTGTTTCAGCCTCCTAAATGGCAGGGACTACAGGATCATGCCACCATATCTAGCTCTACATTCTTATTTATTTTTTTAAATTATTTATATGTTACACACCAGGCATTGTGTTAGCACTAAAGGTATAAAGGTGAATAAAGGAGAAAAAAATAAGACCTAATTCCTGAGTTTAGGGAGTATATATTGATAACAAAGAGTTGCTACTTACAGTATCAGTAAAAAATTGGGTGGTTGAGGAAGAGTATTCTGTGGTGCTGTGGAAAAGGAGGTCAGGAGAGCTCCCCTGTGAAAGTGCTGATGAGGGCAATGAAGGTAGATGGGGACACTTACAGGATGCTCAACATAGGCTGATACAGACTACAGCAATGTGTCAGAATACACAGGGCAGAAGGAAGCGTGGTGAGAGGAGCCTGGAAAACAGGTGGGGACTGGGGCCAAACCACCCATCTCCTAGTCCGGGTTAAGGGTTTTGATCTTTTTCCTAGAGCCAACGGGAAACCATAGGATAGGGGGGAAGTTGTCACATCAGATTTGAATTACAAATTTTGAAAAGTTCATTCTGGCTGCACTGTAGAGAACTTACTAGAGAGCCTGTTGCTGTTGCTTTGAAAGCCCCCATTAGCCAGTCTGATGATTGCCTAGATATTAGTCAGAAATCATCCGTACATATAGAGAGCTGCTTCTAGATCATTCTGTCTTTCAGAACACTCATAGGCACCCTGCCACAGAAAGCAAAGCAAGACGACATGCTGCTGCATGTATGCGAATTACGTTTGCCAGGCCAGTGCTCAGCTTTAAACTTTGCTTATGGAAGATAAAACTGCTTCCTTATTTTACACAAACCACCAAAAACAAAATATCCTGCTTCTACCTGACTTTGGTTTCCTTCTAGGCCATCTACAAGGCTGACCTGGAGTGGCTACGCGGCATTGGCTGGATGGCTGAAGGATCTCCTGAAGTTCTGAGAGTCAAAAATGCCCAGGAGATCCTATCTGACAGCATCTATCGGACACCTGCATTGAAACTCAAGTATACAAGTATTGTCGACACACCTGAAGTTGTCCTTGCTAAATCAAATGCTGAAAATATTAGCATTGTAAGTCATTTTGTTCCTATGGAAACTGAATTTTAATTATAAATAAAAATAAATTAACCTGGTATTTAATTTCTAAAAACAATATTGATGAGAAAATACCTTAACAAGTATTATTAACAACATTATTTTGCATTATTTTGTTTTTGCTTATTGATTTCAAATGACTCAAACTATTAATAAAAGACAATATAGATTCCATATTAAGTCTGAGTAACTTATGTGAAAAGACTATAAAGACTCTTAATATGAAAAGATTTTTTATCAGATCCAAATGAAAAGTTCAAAGTTATCTACTGACACTAACAAAATTACAAACTGTGAAGTGATTTTGTTATTATTGGTTCTTTCCATAGCCAAAGTACAGAGAAGTTTGGGACAAAGATAAAACTTCAATCCACATAATGCCAGATACTCCAGAAATTAATCTTGCACGAGCCAATGCTCTTAATGTGAGCAATGTAAGTACCACAACATTCCATTTTGTTTGGAGAGTTAGCCAGCTGTTGCCATAAAATGGCCATGGAGTCTTCACAGCTGGGGGAAAGGGGCACCTACTTGGTCAGGAGTCAGGAGGTCTCCTTACCTTCAGCCCTTGGCCAGGAGTGAGGAAAAGAAGTTACCTGGCTCCGAGTCCCTGGGCCGGGCCACTTACCAGTGAGCCAAGGTCAACATAAGAAAAGGTAGAGGAAAGTAAGGACAAAGAAGACTAAGGAGGAATAAAGAGAGGCCTAAGTAAGAAAGGGGAGATAATGATAGATTCAGAGGAACTGAGAATAATAATAATTCTTTGTGAAAATAAACAAGCCAATTTTAAAACCTGGATCTATTAGGGATATTCTAAGAAATTATAAACTACCAGATTGACCCCAGAAATGTATAGAAAACATATGGAAAGAAAGTAAGAGAGTTACTAAACACGTTCCTTTTTCCTCTCAAATGCCCCCAGTGATGTCATGGAGTTCTTTCAGAATTTAGGAAATAAACTACCATGAGCCTAATAATAGTAAAAGAAGGAAAACCATCACAATTAACAAAACTTGTTAAAAGTTCTACAAATAGAACTATAGACCAATAATAATGGAAAAACATCTTAAATAAAATATTAACAAAAGAAATTCAAAAGTACATTCAGATGATATGATAGAAACAACTCAGGCTCCTTCAGGAATGCCAAGAGGGTTCCATATTTAGAAACCTAATAATATCAATCCGTGTACTTATTTTATTATATTTAAAAAGACATATGGCCAAATCCAATACTTATTTTTAAAAATAAAATCCTAGTTTTTAAAAAAAGAATAAATAAATATTTTCTTGATATGACTAAAAAAATCTCAAAGGTTAGCTCATCCTTATTAAGTAAACTTCTTATTCAAATCAGGATTTAAAAAAGGATGCCCACTAATATCAAATACTTAACATTTTTCATTTACAGTGGCACCTCGGTTCACCAACTTAATTCTTTCCATGATTCTGCTTGCGAGCAATTCGACTGCAATCAGAATCATGGAAAGAATTAAATTGGTGAACCGAGAAGCCACTGTACCTGGCTGAGTGAGTAAGCTTCTCACTGATACTTATATCAGAGCAATAAGATAAATACTTGGAAGAAAGAGGAAAATTATTATTATTTGGAGAAGAAATCATTGCAAGCCTAGAAAAAGTAAGAAAATCAACAGAAAAAAATCTATTAATAAGCAGAATTCAGTTACATGACTGACTACACAATTCAAGAAAGCTCAAGACAGGTACCGTCTTTATGGGTCACAGAGACTGCTTGTGTGTAGAATAAATATGACCTTAAAAAGATGATAATACCTTAGTGTGATTCTTCATAGTTTGGAACTTGGCATCTTTTCAGAAGAATAATAAGTCTTTCTGAAGGGGGAACTTGCCAAGCAAAGATTCCTCACTATGTGCCAAACTGTGCCCAACTTCTCCACCAAGTAATGAGGAACTTGGGGAGTCATTTTTTCCATTGTTTGGGAAAAGAATACAATTACAGGGCCCTGAGGCATGTTTTAGGAGGCGGGAGGTGGAGCCAGAATCAGTCATGTTTTGATGCCTTCTTGTCGAGTGGCTGGACCAAGAAGCTCTCAGTTCTCCATGACAGAGTGCCCTCTTCCTCCTTCCACCCCTAGGCCCTTCTGGCAGGAGAGTTCTGTGAAGTTTTCTTATAAGTTCACTTTTGCTTCATAAATTTCTCAGATGTAAATGCCAGAACCCTACCATTGACTGCATAATGTGAACAAAGCTAGCATGGTTTTCAAAATTATGCCAAAAGTTAACCTATTAACTTTAGATATTAATGAGAGTGGCTTGCATTTTAGAGGAAATCAAACACCCCATTTGATTGCATAGCTAAACACACAGACATTTTCTTTACACATGGTATTGCCATTTTTATAATCTGGATAAAGTCTACTACTTAAAACTGTTTCCATCATTTAGAAAACACAACTTTCACAGAATATTGTACGTGATTTTATGAGTAACAAAATAAATTCACATTAAATTGGCTCATTAAATCTTCATACTAACCACACAAGTAAAATATTGTTCTTTTGTTTTACTAGATGGGAAAACTGATATTTAAAAAAGTTTAAAATGAACTCATAAAGTTAGTAGGTGAAGAAATTGGGTCACAATCCTCAGGGACTTATTTTTTAGTTCAAAGAAAAAATATATTTAACTGCATAAACACAAAAATTTATTATATGAAAATAGTATGGGGCTAGGGATTTAGCTCAGTGTTTCCGATGCCTGCCTCGCAAGTGCAAGGTCCTGAGTTCGATCCCTGGTACCAAAGAACAACAACAAAAAAGAAAATAGTATAAAATTATAATGAATGAGATGAAAACAGAATAAAGTGAAAAAGTAACATGACATATTTGCATTAAATATTCTCTAGTATAATACATTTAAATATGGAGAATACTTTTTCTTCTCTACAGAAAACAAATCAATTATTAAAATAGGCCCACTCAAAAATCCATCCCAAACTTGACAATGCTTACAAGTATAAAATTTATCCAAGTACTCATTTTCAGATATGCAAAAGCTATGAAACTGTCAATAATTGAAATTCACTTCTTTCTGCCCTGCAAAAGCCTTTCTGCACTGCAAAAGTTTGTCATTCTGAAGATCACAAAATTTAATTGAATAAAAGAAATTTAACAATAGCCAATTAATATCTCACTTATCCCAATGCTATCAATATGTCAACACCAGGAGAAAAAAAGGTTAAACCTTTTCATGTTACTCATGAGATGATAAGTCTTGTACAACTATATCAAAGCTGTGATTTGAGTGAAAGAGAAAGAAGTCTCAACGGGCCCAGATCCTGGGACTCCAGGCAGCATTTCACGTTCCATAACATGGTGCACAGAATGCTTCTTTTCACCTATTCTCTCTCCTGTAATTGATCTTAAGTCCTGGGGCTGTACCCCTGTGATATTAACTCTGTGTGAGCCTTTGGAGGTATTGAGTAAGTTTGAATCTGGAATGACATCTTATATTTTCTCCTCTTCAGAAAATCTATCGAGAGGGGTGGGATGAAGTAAAGATGAGCTGTGATGTGCGGCTGGATGCCATCCCTATCCAGGCTGCCAAGGCCTCCAGGGAGATTGCCAGTGACGTGAGTGTGGCCTTTTGTAACCTTCTCGGTTTGTTAAGCAAATGCCCAAGATACATCAAGAGGGCATGCTGTGGTCCATCTGCTTCGTTTTCCACCTGCAGTATAAATACAAGCTTGACCACGAGAAGCAAAAGGGACACTACGTGGGCACTCACACAGCCCGGGATGACAACAAGATCCGGTGGGCCCTGATAGCTGGCAAGCTTCAGAATGAAAGAGAGTACCGGCTGCACTGGGCCAAATGGAAGAGCAAGTTCCAAAGCCCTGCAGATATGCTTTCCATCTTGCATTCTAAAACTTCGCAGACCCTGGTCAGCAATGTTGATTATCGCCATCACCTGCACCAGTGGACGTGCTTGCCTGACCAGAATGATGTGATTCAGGCCAGGAAAGCCTACGAACTGCAAAGCGATGTGAGTGGGCTACACTGTAGGATGAGCTCTTCTATCGTTTTGCCATGACTTTTAGAAAGTTCATTACATTATATCTTTGTCATCCTTTCATATTCTTATGTAGCCAAGAATTTGATATAAGTTAAGCTTTATGGTATGCTATCAAAATCTCCAAAGCCAGGAAGGATCTTTATGTCAAGAAATAAATGGTAGTGTGAATGAATATGGGGTTTTCTCTTTTAACACCAGGGATTGAACCCAGGGGCACTGCACTCAATTATGCCCCCAGCACCCTCTTTTTTTCCGAGACCATCTCCCGAAGTCACTAAGTTGCCCAAACTGGGCTGAAATTTCTCTCACCTCAGTCTCCCAAAGTGCTGGGATTACAGGTGTGCACTGGTCTTAATAATGTTAAGTTAAAGAAAACTACTATGGAAAAAATATTATTTCTACAGAATTTAGGTAGCAATTAATGTTTATATCAAGTAACATATTGGTAGGATAGGATCTAGGCACAGATATATTTTTTAATTAGCACAGTTGTTTAGAAATTTTGAGTGAAGTTACCACTTTTAAAGCAAGATATTTTTGTGTAAAAATCTTGGATTTCCCATTTATCTCAAAAATTCAGAAGATGCATCTCTAGACACGCATTACTCCCTAGCAAAAATAGCCTAGAACTGAATGGAGGTTAACTCATGATTTTTTTCTAAAAAACAACAAAAAAAGAACACACTATTTACATTGAAGATTACACCAATAATCAGTATAAAAAACTATGAAACTATAAAATACCATATCAATTGAAATACCAGGTATAACATGCACAAAGCCAAGAAAACCATCATTGCCAGATACTGAGTTTCTATTGCACTGTCCTTTGAACACACCAGCAGGAATAAACTGTTGGGTGCAGACACCAGACAGTGTGAAACCCATGTTAAATAGAAAAAATATCCTCCAGTTCGTTACACTACCTGCCCTAGTTAATTTCCTTATATCGTTCACCTGGCTGCTTGAGTATCTCACCCTTGGCTTATGTAGTGTTTAAATTGTGTCACTTCAGCAAATCTCTTGAGAGACTAAATGGGACCAGGGTACCAGTGGTGCTGAATTCATTCTGGTCTTGTTTCCACAGGCTGTTTACAAGGCTGATTTGGAGTGGTTACGTGGAATTGGGTGGATGCCAAATGATTCTGTTTCTGTCAATCATGCCAAACACGCTGCAGATATCTTCAGTGAGGTATTCCAAGATTGTACTGTGTCCTGTCATTCAGTGCATTTTCAAAGGGAATGAAGAAAAGTACATGAGCCAAAGTGCAGTCATCTCATACCAGCAATTTTAACTATTTTTAAATGCTGAAATGTAAGCTATATATATTTTCCAAAATAATCCTGTACTGTTCCCATCACGTTATAAGACCACATCCCTAATATAATAGTATTCAGTACACTCTCATTGATACTTAGAATTGTAAAAATTGAAAATTTCTTTTGTCAGTTACAGCAATATAGTATTTTGTCGAGTTGAAAAAAATGAACATATGATACACATAAAGAGATGACTTTGGGAAGTAATCATGCTTGCTTGCTACTTTAAAATCTCTGGGAGGTATAAGAAACCAGCCCATTTGTTTAAAAAATAAAATTTGGAGAAGAAAAGACATTTATTTAAAGCATTCAACACCTCTAATTGAGAAGGACCCTAATATTTAGTATATCTCAGTCACCAAGACCAAAGACTACAACTGTCTAAAAGATCTTTTGTTCCTCATAGAAAAAATATCGCACAAAAATAGAAACTCTCAACTTTACTCCTGTGGATGATAGAGTCGATTATGTGACAGCGAAGCAAAGTGGTGAGATCCTTGATGATGTAAGTAACAACAAAATTACACAATCATGCCAGGTGTGGTGATGCAAGCCTGTAACCCCAGAATTGGAGAAGTTGAGGTGGCAGGGTCTCCATATGTTCAAGGCCAGCCTGGGCTATATAGTAAGTTCACAGCCAGCCTGAGCTGTATAACAAGATCCTGTCTTAAAAAAAAAAATAGGTGCAAAGTCCCTATGATGAATGTGATCATTATATGTATCTAAAATGTACCAGTAAACTTAATTTTTAAAATAATAAATAATAAAATAAAAATTATGCTATCGTGTAGTTTTAATTAAAATTTTCTACCTCCTTGCACTTCAGCATGCCATACATTGTCCAAGATACAAATTTTAATCATCAGAATTTTTAATGCCAGCAATTCCCTGGCAATATGTTGTTCTTAATGTCAAATAACCTATCCCATTGTCCCCCTACTTTTAGATTAAATATCGGAAAGATTGGAATGCCACCAAGTCAAAATACACCCTCACAGACACCCCCCTACTGCACACTGCCCAAGAGGCTGCCCGGATACTGGACCAGGTAGGGTTTTTACTTGGATGCCTGGTACTTCTGGTGAGGACAGAGAACCCTAATGGAGCCAAAGGAAATTTATACACCTAACTCTTCATTTAACTTCTATTGTGCTCTCTTTCTCTTAGTATCTCTACAAGGAAGGCTGGGAGAAACAAAAAGCTACAGGTTATATTTTGCCTCCAGATGCTGTGCCATTTGTTCACGCCCATCACTCCAGCGATGTTCAAAGTGAGGTAATTTATCCGGATGTGTGTGCACTTTGGAAAAGCTGGATGTTGTCTGTAAGGGTGCCCCATGTGCCCAGGGTGTGCGTGACACAGTACAGATGTTCTACTTCAGCCTGGCAGATATGGCGGAGCTTGCTCAGGGCTGCAGTAGTGGCTCCTTTTTTGGTGTTTTCCCACGGGTTTTGGGCCAACTTCTTTTCCTTCTTTCTTCAAAAGCTATTGTTTGAGTTCCTTACTTTTTCTTACATCCTCTGCCTTCTCTAAAATCTCTAGGCCCCCAGATAAAGATACTTCCAGAGATATAGAACAAGTATATGGTTTTTGAAAAATAATTATTTTTCATATTTATTATTTCAATGCTTTTACAATCCTGGGTTGGGGGTGTCACACAGAAAGCTGGTGGGGGGCTGAGTGCCGGAGGTACCTGAGCAGATGGTCTTGCCCCTTTTTCCCTGTGTGCTTGTCAGAGCTGATGTACTCTGAACTCTTCTTCCCACCAGCTGAAGTACAAAGCTGAACATGTAAAGCAGAAAGGTCACTATGTTGGTGTCCCAACAATGAGAGATGATCCTAAACTGGTTTGGTTTGAGCATGCAGGCCAGATACAGAATGAGAGACTCTACAAACAGGACTATCACAAAACAAAGGCCAAAATCAACATACCTTCAGACATGGTGTCAGTCTTGGCCGCCAAGCAGGGGCAGAGCCTTGTCAGTGATATTGATTACCGCAATTACCTGCACCAGTGGACATGTCATCCCGACCAAAATGATGTAATTCAGGCAAGAAAGGCCTATGACCTACAGAGTGATGTAAGTGGTTTTTGTTTCTTCATTATCTAGAAATGTACAATACACTTAGGAATGAAAGCAGTATTCCAGAACTACCAGTCTTTGAAACTTTGGACTATAAAGACTTACTTTGTTCCCAGAAGGGAATCAAGACTTGCTATGAAGTAGAGGAGGATAAGGAACAGTGATTGATTGATAGCCTTCCTACAGACTGCATTTCTGAAGAGGTTTCAAAGTCAAATATTTTTAAAATCTACTTTTATGCCATTTCTGCTATCAGCAACTCCTTACATTCACGTGAATAATTTTCAGCTAATATAAACTAATAATTGGCTTTGGTGAGAATTAAGCCTGAATTGGGGTTTTGACAATATTAGGTCATAGCACTGAACAAGGAGCTAGGACTGCCTCATTCTGCTTTGCTGAGCATCATATTCCTCAAGGTGCAAGATCTCTACCTGCATTGACCTCTGTAGGGAGAAGCAGAAATGTGATGTATGGACTCACTGCTCAGGTACACAGAGTTAGAATAGATGCTGAACTTGAACGTCCCACCTCACTCACTGCTGCAGCAGAGTGGCTCTTGTGAAACTTCAGTCAGAATAGCAGCCACTCCTCATTTCATTTGGGGTGGACTGGAAGAATCTAAGAGCTGCAGGTAGGCAGGGAAGAGAAAAGACAAAGATGGAGACAGATTTGGCCAGTGTAGTTGAGACACGGCCCCCCTTCACTGCAACTACGTTGGCATTGACTTGTGTGATTTCCTTAATTTAGTCTCAATATCACACAGGCTTTTACATAGCTAAATGAACCAAGTCCTTCTAAAACTGCAGCCTCCTTGGTAAACCATTTCTTACAGGCGAAAGTGATGGCCCCTCCCCTTAATTCCAGTAGCACTTGTGTGGCCTCACTGTCATAGTGCTTAACCTTATACCGATCCCTTAAAGTACTGAGAACAGTGCCTCGTGCACTCACAAGCTCCTCAAGAAAACATGGACCAGGTAAAGTCACAATTGAAAGAATGAGACAACAGCCACTAAAGAGAAATCTTTAAAAACCTTCTAAAAAGGGCCGAGGATTTAGCTCAGTGTTTCTGCTGCCTGCCTCGCAAGCGCAAGCTCCCGAGTTCGATCCCCAGTACCCAGAAAAAAAAACCAAACAACTATTTGGAATCTGCTATCTGTAATCCTGAAGTCTAAGACACTAACTCTTCATCATATCTCTGTCCTATTTTCAGAACATCTACAAAGCTGACCTGGAGTGGCTCCGAGGCATTGGTTGGATCCCCTTGGACTCTGTGGACCACGTGAGGGTCACTAAGAACCAGGAAATGGTGAATCAGGTGTGCAAATTCTGTTCCCTTTGTAATCTAACACCTACCCTCCTTACCTGCCATACGGGGCTCAGTACCCTGTGGGGATAGACCTATCTTAATTGTCTCTATTTCTTTGCAGATAAAATATAAGAAAGATGCTCTTGACAACTATCCCAATTTTACAAGTGTGGTGGATCCTCCAGAGATTGTTTTGGCCAAGACTAATGCAGTCAATCAAAGTGATGTAAGTTTGTTCTGTATATGCAGAAATACATAGACTGAGAATTGATTGTCTGTCATTGAATGGATTAGCTCATCTCTAAATAACTGCTTGTAAGAAATTGGGATGGGGTAAATTATAAGATAACCTTGGGGGAGATGTCTTAAAAGACACTAGTAGCTGGTATACTGTGTGTGCTTTTGGATATCTATATTCTTATCTAAAATATCCTATTATAATAAACTGAAATTCAACCAGTTGGTTAGTTTTAATCTCTAAATGTAGACTGATTATTATGTTGTTAGGTAGATTGTATAAAAATTTAAATCTATATTTATAATAATCAAAATTTTAAAAATAATCAAAATGTTCTATTGTTTTCTCTTCTTAGGTAAAATATAAAGAAACATTCAATAAAGCCAAGGGAAAATATACATTTTCTCCAGATACACCATATATTTCCCATTCCAAGGACATGGGAAAACTCTACAGTACTGTGAGTCTTATTTTATATAGTAATATCTCAGTTCCTAATTTTAGCCCTTACTATTATTAATCTTCTTGGGTGATTCTATGAACAGCTGAACAAAGAACAACAGAGCAATCGATTGTCTTAATTGCATTTTTTCTTGTCTGCTAGAACTAGCATATCATTCAAAGTGAGGAATATGTATTCAGCTGGATTTTTTGAGCTCCTGTGATGTGCCAGGAACTGCAGTGGTCACTGAGGGGCTAAAGCTAAATGAGATGAATTCTTCAGGAGCTCATACAAGTGACAGGAACAGACACAAGTAAACAGATGATAATGTAACAAATGCTATTAAAGCTCTAGGAGCACAGAGAATTGGGAGCAACTACCAAAAGAGAAAAAGAAGGAAAGGCTTGTTTTTCCTCAGCAGTCATGTATGCACGTCTCCAGCCCACAAATTGAATACTTGCTCTCTAAAATTTAATTCAGCTAATTTAAAGGACTGTGGAGATGCATAACCAGTGGAAAGCAATTTTGGGGATTCCCTGTATACAAATCTCTCATCACTTTTACTAGAACTGTAAATACAGTTCACTCTGTTATAAAATGCCTCAGAGTCTGTAGATTCAATTTGCAGTAAACCAAATGACTGCCTTGTTCTAGCTAGGCACACTAATGGCTACAAATAAAGATTTTTAAGCCTTCCCTTGAACATAAATGTTTTAGTTTAACTTTGCCAATGGTTTTAGTAATATCTGAAAGTACTAGTTAAATAAAAACTTTGTTAAACTTTGTCCATAATTCTTTGTTCTAGATACTGTATAAAGGGGCCTGGGAGGGAACCAAGGCCTATGGCTATACCCTGGATGAGCGTTATATTCCCATTGTTGGAGCCAAGCACGCTGACCTGGTGAACAGTGAGGTCCGTATGACCTTTTCCTCTCTTAGGTTTGGGGGTCTTTTGGGGAGAGCAAAGGACTAGTTAGAAAACTCCAGGGATTCTCAATGTTGAATCTGCCTCACAGCTGAAATACAAAGAGACATATGAGAAGCAGAAGGGTCACTACCTGGCTGGAAAAGAAATCAGTGAGTTCCCTGGTGTGGTTCATTGTCTGGATTTCCAGCAGATGAGGAGTGCGGTAAGCCAATGCTCACTTCAACATAGATTTGTACAGCTTCAGTGTGCTCTGTGTTTGCCTTTTTTGAGCTGGACCTGTGGTTCAGAACTAGTTTGGTGGGCTGGGGATTCAGCTCAGTGGTTTCGCCGCCTGCCTTGCAAGCGCAAGGACTCGAGTTCGATCCCCGGTACAAAAAAAAAAGAACTAGTTGGGGGATGAAGTGGTCTTTTTTTCTTTCTTTCTTTCTTTTTTTTTTAGACAAGATCTCATTGTGTAGTTCAAGCTGGCAATGAACTCACTGTGTAGCCCAGGTAGCCCAGGCTACCCCTGAATTTGTGGAAATTCTCCTGCCTCAGCCTCCTGAGTGCTGGGATTACCATGGGCCACCATGCTAGGCTTGGAATGATTTATTCTTGAGATTTTTCCCCACCCTTACTTCGGGCCCTTCATGGCTAGAGGTTTCCTTGGTTCTGCTTCCCCCTCCAACACCAAATACATAGTGAGGGCTCTGAAATGAAAAAGGAGACAGTAACAAGGTCACTGTTGACCTTGCATTGTAGAAAGATAAGAAGCTTAAAAAGAAGGATATAATAAAAAATTTTAACAGTGTATTCTAGAGGTACTGATCTATATTGGAATTAAGACTCAAAAGAGATTCATCTGAATTGTTAAAGTTTTAATTCTTATCTAATTTTTGTTTTTTAAAAATGCCATTCTTTAGTTGAGCTACAGAAAACACTATGAGGACACAAAGGCAAATGTTCATATCCCCAACGATATGCTGAATCACGTGCTGGCTAAAAGGTGCCAGTACATCCTCAGTGACCTGGAATATCGACATTACTTCCACCAGTGGACATCTCTCCCAGAAGAACCCAAATTTTTTTATGCCCGAAATGCCCAGGAGATATTAAGTGATGTAAGTTGCCTTTCTGCACTTGACTTAGTTGCAGGTTTCACCTGGTCCTGCCTCAGGCCCCTGTGTTCCAGTTGTTCCTGTGTTTATGTACCCAGGAACTTTCAACTTTGAGCCTCTGGACACCTATGTTAAATTTTTAGTCTGTTCAGCACTAGGTGGGACTTAGGTATTGCTCCCCTCCCAGTTGGTTAGGCCAAGTGAGTACAGATCTTCTAGCTAGTGAGAGGCCCACACTGTGCTCTCTAAGCACTAAGCCCAACCAGGGACCAATAGGAAATTATTAAAAGGCTCAGAATTCTGTAAACTTAGAATACCTATCACTATTCATTTTTCTTTGTTCCTTACAGAATGTGTATAAAGATGACTTGAATTGGCTGAGAGGCATTGGTTGCTACGTTTGGGATACTCCCCAGATTCTCCATGCCAAGAAATCATATGACCTCCAGAGTCAGGTGAGTCAATTTTCCTAGAAAGACTGGCTCTCTCAGGTCATCAAAACCCATGGTAGTATCAGTGGGCTGCTGGGCCAGCTGTGTCCATGTTTGATTGAGAAGCTCTAACCAAGTAGCTTCTATAATGGTGTGTGATTTAAGGGAAGCCCCCTGGCCTTCTGGACCCAATTAAATCTGCTCCATCGCTGAATCTTCTCAGCATGAGTCTCTCCTATGGTTAAAGTCTCTCCTATTTATAACAGCAAGTTATGACATACTTTTTTGTTTTTGTACTTGGGATCGAACTCGGGACCTTGCGCTTGGTAGGCGGGCGGTGGAACAACTGAGCTAAATCCCCGGCCCTATAACAGCAAAGAGGGAGTAGGATGTCAAAGCAGTCTTGACCACAGATAGGTGTATTCTGAATGAAAAAATTAATCCTGGAACATCCCAGCATGTAGATGAACTTTGATAGATGGGTCTAATAGATTATCCAAATCAAGGGGCTGCTGTCAGGGATGGAGAAAGGGTGTGCAGAAGACATCAAAATGGAGAGGGTTATCTGGCAGAGATCCAGACCCCACTCCTGGTCCAGAAAAGCTATTCACTTTGGCGCGCCACACGAAGTCTTCAGGCTCACAGGATGGTAGCCTGTTGCTTAGGATGAAAACAGAAACCCATAAATAAGTAAAGGCACATCTAAATTGGCACAAATATTTAAAGCTGATGACAGACAGTACTTTATCACTTTTGGTGGCCTTTTTCTTCACAGATCCAATACACAGCAGCAGGTAAAGAAAATTTACAAAACTATAATCTGGTCACAGATACACCAGTTTATGTGACTGCTCTTCAAAGTGGCATGAATGCCAGCGAGGTATGTCTTCCTTGTCCTTCTCTTCCAGAGACAAGCCATTTCTTATCTTTAAATATTTTTCAGTAACAGAGGTGAATAAGCCATTTGTTTTTCTGTCTGTAGGTGAAATATAAAGAAAATTATCATCAGATCAAGGACAAATACACCACAGTACTAGAAACAGTGGATTATGACAGAACCAAGAATCTCAAGAGTCTTTATAGCAGTGTAAGTATTTTCCTCCTACACCTGAGCCACTTGTTGCCCTTCAGAGCCAATAAAAGAATAAATGAGAATGTGTACCTTGTCCCCAAAGATTTTTCTAGTTTTCTCATGGGTCCTCAGATTGCTACTTTCTCTCATAAAATTCTTATATGTACAATTAAATAAAGCTCAAATTGGCAAGGATTGTCTGAGAAGGACAGAATTCAAGAAAATCTGCTACTCTGGAGCTAACCAGAATGCACTGTTCCAGATTCACATGGCTTTTCTTTTTAATCCTTCCAGAATCTGTACAAGGAGGCCTGGGATAAAGTGAAAGCCACCAGCTACGTTCTGCCGACCAGCACCTTGTCCCTGACACATGCCAAGAACCAGAAGCATCTGGCCAGCCGTGTAAGTCAGGTTCAAACCCAACAGCCTCCCCTCTTTTCCCCTCCCCTGCTCTCACTGCAGGGACTTCTCAGGCTTAGGCAAATGTTGTCCAGAGGATCCCTAGCACCTCCGTGGGAGTATCCAGCAAGGAATTCCAGATCCTTCGTCGCCACAGCCTGTGCACCTACTGTCTCGCTCAGGGATCTGCAGTCCAGGGAGAGTCACAAACACTGGCAAGAAGGATACAGATGTGACCTTGTAGGCTGCCTGTCTGTGGATGACGTGAATAAATAGTCTCTGTTTCAGCCAGAAGTGAGGAGAGGAAGAAGACATAATGTAGCATATCAAACAGGCTCTTTTCCATGGAATTACAAGGGCATGATAATTAGTTATTATACCATCTATAAATAAACAGAGCAGCCCAGAGGGAGAGACTTTTCATCTGGGAAGAGGGGTGTTTTAGATAAGATTACAAAACCTGGAGAAAGGACTTTAGTCATTTTTTTTAATGTTATAAAGGTAGGACTCTTGGCAAATTGTTTATGGAACAAGGTAGGATGTACAGAAAACAATCTTTTAAAAAAAATTTTAAGAAAAAGAATTCTTTGAATACTGTCGTCTTGTTAGTTGAGGAATAGTTTAGATATAACAAGCTGGATTTTTGTGTTCCAGAAAATTATGGTGGAAATTTTGGTGAGTCTCTAGTCATTACAGGGCTTTGCTGAAATTCTAATTGAACTCCTCCTTCTCCTCTTTTTCACTAAGCTATGGGTCTTGGTTCTGTAATTACCAAGTACTAGGAGACTGGATCTTTGTCTCTGCCTTATCATCTCATTCATGCATTAATAGGCAACATGACTTAAGAATAAAAGTTTTCCTGAAGAAGTTGATTGCTCTGTGTTTCTTGAAAACCTTGTGGAAACTGAAATTTAAAGACTGTGTCTTTTAAGCATTGGGATTTTCAGTTATTTAAAACAAAGAGATTGCTGAACACAGTTTAATTTTTCACTTGTAGTAAGAAAAATAAAGCCATTATCAAAAAACAAATTATTTTAAAACTGTAGTTTTAAGGCCCTATGTTCGATCCATAGCTCTGCAAAATACAAAAAATAAAGAAAAATCACATAATCTTAAAAATAAATTGATTGTAATTGTAGCAAAAGTACTGGTATGCATATAAGCATTTAAAAATAAAAACTAGACTTGTGCTGTACAGTTTGAGTGCTTTCAGATATGGCCTGACTGAAGCCTCACAATGGCCCTGTGCTGGGTGCTAGCACTGTGTCTCTATACAGATGAGGACATGAGCTCAGGGAAGTAGCATCCCCAGATCATCTGGACCTTGGAGTTAGGTCCTTCCCATTAAGTCTCATGCTCTTTTAACAAAATAAATCCATTACTCTCCATTACTATGTTTTAACTTTTCTACTTTTTTTATATAGGTCAAGTACCGAGAAGAATATGAAAAGTTCAAAGCTCTTTACACTTTACCAAGAAGTGTTGAAGATGATCCAAACACAGCGCGGTGCCTTCGAGTGGGCAAGTTTAACATCGATGTAAGTGACCCCAAAGGGCTGACTTCAAATTTGCTCAAGAAAGATAGTCACGTATTATCAATCAGAACAATTTCCATTAAATCAGGCAAGTGGCCCTGATTGTGCACATGTAAAGAAGAAAGAAGCTAAGCCCCTTTCTCTCTCCTCCCCCCTCCTGGTATTAATCTGTAGAAAATATCAGAGAATTTCAGCCCACCTTGCCTCAAAAGCTAGTTGTAAGCTGGTTCCCTGACTTTTCTAGAATGGGAAGAAGGCATGTATTCCTTGATGGCTTGGCACAATTTTCCTGTATAGCTGGCATGTAACTTTCACTTCACAGCGCCTGTACAGATCAGTTTATGAAAAGAACAAGATGAAAATCCACACTGTGCCTGACATGGTAGAGATGATTACTGCCAAGGATACACAGAAGAAAGTCAGTGAGGTTGATTACCGCCTGCACCTACATGAATGGATTTGCCACCCTGACTTGCAAGTCAACAGTCACGTCAGGAAAGTCACGGATCAGATCAGCGATGTAAGCCCATTCGTTGCTTAGGAAGGTCCCCAGCCCTTGCGCACCCCACTCACCCACCCTAGGAAGAAACCACCTCACCTACGTGTTCACCTCTGCCTTCTTTCACTCTGGCTTTCCTCTCTGTCCATGAGTCTGACATATTGTGGAGCTGTCCCTGGAAGTAGGGCTCTATGTGCCCTGTGTTTCTGTGGGATCCTCAGTTCTCCTCACACAATACCTTTTGCTTCTTATTCCCTAAAGTCATCTGGGTTCAGGCTGTGCCTGTGCTTTTTAGGGTTGACATTATGTCAGATTTTCTTTCTGACCCCTTGCACTTATTGAAACCTTCTAGATTGTGTACAAGGATGATCTCACCTGGCTGAAAGGCATTGGTTGCTATGTCTGGGATACTCCTGAAATTCTCCATGCCAAACATGCTTATGATCTACGCGATGATGTGAGTTTCCTTATTTGTTTGTCTGGTATATTTCCTTGTCTATGTATTCAAGAGTCAAGGAGTGAATATGTAAAATAGGAATATTGCCACATACCAGCTGTGGTTTAAGTCATGTTGTGGATAGTTGAGCTGGATAAAGGTGCTAGGAACAGAGTAGCCATTTCTTGACAATACCCCGGATGTTCCTACTAAACAATGTGGTCCATCTGGGCCGTTTGCCTGTGGTGGAAAAGGGATTTTTGGCTCTTCTCTCCACTTTTTGAAGTAGTTTGGATATATTAGTGAGCACATAACTTTCATTATAAGAAAATTGCAGGGCTAGGGATGTAGCTCACAGGTAGAGTGTTTGTCTAGTGTGTATGAGGCCCTGAGTTTAATACCCAGAACCATCGCAAAAAAAAGAAAGAAGGAAACAAATTCTCATCTGCTAGGAGTTTATGGACTATACATAAGATCTATTTGATCTACTTATAAAGAGCAAAAATGCCAGTCAAATTGGTATTGCAATAAAAATTTCAGCAAGAAAGTTTGAACTTTCCTAAAATAGCAGCTGTTAAACCTCCCAGAAAACTCTAGAAGCCCCAAATGACTATAAGCATTGATTACACTGTTATAAAATTCAAATCTATCCTTGTCTGTTGAAAAAGTGCTGACAGGGCCAGGGATTTAGCTCAGTGGTTTCACCACCTGCTGTGCAAGCACAAAGACCCAAGTTTGATCCCCAGTACCAAAAAAAAAAAAGAAAGAAAGAAAGAAAGAAAAAGAAAAAGTGCTGACTAATGTAAATCTCATAAGTTAAAAGCTACCACGACCTCTGTGAAAATCAGCCCTCTCTAGTATTTAATAAATGATCCAACACAGGCTTGTTTAATTCTTCTTTGCAGATCAAGTACAAAGCTCATGTGATGAAAACAAGGAATGACTACAAGTTGGTCACTGACACACCACTCTACGTTCAGGCTGTCCAAAGTGGGAAACAGCTAAGTGATGTATGCGCTCCCTCGGGAAGTTACCATGGACAGTAACAAATACTGATTCACCACTCAATCAAAGACTAGCCTGTGCCAGCCTTCTTTAACTGGGAAACTAGATTCTATGTCCTAGAAAGTATTTAAATGCTGCCTCCTGAAACCAAAAGCATCAAGTAGTTAGTTCCCTGGGAATGGAGTTAAGTGAGCTGAGTCTATGGAATACTTTGTTTTACAGCTTCCAATGTTGCTTTTTGTATGCTTTTGTTACGAGCAACATTTTATCCTTTCCTGTCTAGGCCTTCTAATAAGTAGGGGCAACTATGGTAGAATGGAAACAAACAGGTCTGATAAAGGTATGGATTGGAGTCCTGCCTCTCTCACACATGATTTAAGGCTTGTGAAAAGCATGTGATCCTTCTCAGCCCCAGCATCTTCATACCTAAAAAGGGAAGGTACACGTAAAGACCACTGTAATGGCTGACTCAGTAAATAAAAAGCTGTTCTTTTAAAGTAAATTCACAGGTTAATAGGGCTATATTAGATCCCACCAGTGGGTTGAAGGTTGAGATTTGTTATTTTGGAACTTCTAGTGGTGCAATGCCAGGGTTCCTGTGCTTTCCACCTGAGCTGTCTCTCCCACATCTCAGTGTGGTGTCCACAGCCTGGCTCTGATCTTTCTGGACGAGACAGAGTCACACATCAGAGCTCCCTAGACAAGAGGAAGAAGGCTTTCTTTCTTTGTTTGTTTTTTTAAGAGGGACTTGGGTTTGCATTTACTTTTCTTCTAACAATGCTGCCACAGTCAGAATCTACACACTCTCCTTCTGTCTGCCCCAGGCTGTTTACCACTACGACTATGTGCATAGTGTCAGAGGCAAAGTGGCACCGACTACCAAAACTGTGGATCTGGACCGAGCTATTCATGCATACAAGCTCCAAAGTGAGGTGAGCAGGGAGAACTAAAGAGCACCCAGCAGAAATCCAGGCCATTGGATCCTGTAGAAGCAACTTCAACTTGGACATCCTCTCGGCCTGACCTTGGTGAAATATAAATGCTGTTCCATTCAATGAGTTGGAAAAACAAAAACAGAGCAGAGCTTGATCCCTCTTCCCTAGCAAAATTCTCATGCTGATCAAACAAACAAATAAAAAAATAGGCAAATGGCTTTTTTAAAAAGCAATATTTACAAAACTCAAAGAAGAGGGCCAGTATGCTACCTCTGCTTTCAAAAAGCTTAAAAATCAATATGACAAAGATAAGGAATTTAATTATAGAGGAAATTATCAGTAAGAGACAAAGGTAGAAATGGCCGTTGGAATTCAGAAGAGAAAGAATTTGAGCCCCACCCATGTTTAATCTACCTGCTCTGTGCTGCCTAGGGGCATGCCTTCGTCTCATTTTTACTTGTACTTCCCATATTAAATATTATAAGTAATTTGATTTTTAATTTTAAACACTATTATTAATCCTGTAGCTCCCCTAGAGCCAGAGTATTTAAGGTCACAGACAGAAACACACACCCCCACTCCTTCTGCCATGAGTATGTGCTTCTTGACCTCTTCATAGCCTGATGTCAAGCAAGATGCAGTGATTATAGGGATGCCTGTTTCAGGGGTGGCAGTGCTTTGAATATCACCTGAAAGTAGGGCTAGGATAGATGGCATTTGGCAGTCTGTCTTCTTTGCATTCCCAATTCTTGCTAGAGGATCCACAATCAACTGAGTACCTGTTTAGAAGCATAGAATTACTTTCTAAAAGCTATTTCACTCATTGTTCTCTTTTTCCAAAACAATAGGCTATCAGTCATCTGACTCATTTCCTGATTGGGGGCGGGGGGGGGGGACTGATTTAAATTCTTCTTGAAGTCAGTTCAGAGCATAAGAACGTTAAGTCTGATCAAAACTCTAACATGAGCTGAGTATGATTTAACTGGGACTAGTGATTTGATGCCCAGTGTCATTTAACTTCTTCTTGTTCATTCTGGCAGAATCTGTACAAAACCGGGCTGCGCTTCCTGCCCACTGGGTATAGGCTTCCAGTTGATACACCTCACTTCAAACACACCAGGGACACCCGATACATGAGTAGCTATGTGAGTATTCTCTTTCTTGTTCAGTTGGGGTCAGAAGTTGGGGTGGGGGAACTTATAGTAACTGACAGCTTAGTCTCATCCTCAAATCATATCCTAAGGGTCAATATTGAATAATGATAGCATAGCGGGAGGAAAGGAAGCATATTTTCTGGGGATGCTGTGGAAATGCTGCTTCTACAGTTCTACAGTGCCTGGACAACTCATTAGATAGGATAGTATGTTCTTAGGAGCCTTGGCTCAGGGACCTCAGCTATCACACTGCCTCAACTTCTGGTGGACTTCACACAGAAGCGTCCTGAACCATCCCAAGCTATTTACTGGAAATGCAACCATGCATGCACACTAGTGATGCATGCAGAAGATATTATAGCACTGTGTGTCCCTAAAGGACTTCTTGCCTGGCTGCTGGACCTGATACTTACCTCACTGCTTATCTTCTGTGCCCTGTTCAGAGGAAAGTAGAGGAGTAAATAGGCTCTCACTAGTTCTGACTTTCCCAGTGTTGGTTCTGATACTACCCTTCCTCGTTTTTCAAAATACCACCCTGGGACTTGATGCATTTGCTCCATGGGCAAGGCCTGGAGGAATCCTGGCCATGCCATTGACTCCGGCTGCAGATTGCACTCATAACCCTTCCACTGGCTGGAGACCAAGATCTCCTTTCTATGTTAGTCTTCAGAGTCTTTGGAGCCATCTCTGTGGCTCACAAAGGGTCCAATAGCATGTGGTCCAGTAATGTATGTTAGATTTAACATATTATTTTAAAAATTAGTCTTTAAAATATTTTCTTATTCCTAATTTCCTAGCCACATTGAGGATAAAAATATAGTTTTTGTTTTGTTTTGCATTTTGCATATTTTCATACAGGTTTTACCTAGCTAGGTTGAATTGTATTCTTTTCTGGACCTGGCTTTATCATTCAGTAAATAATTTTCAGCCAGGGATTTAGCTCAGTGGTTTCGCTGCCTGCTGCACAAGTGCAAGGACCCGAGTTCGAGCCCCAGTTCCAAATAAATAAATAAATTTCAAGATTTGGAATAATATTAAAATTTTGTCAATGACTCTTTAATATTTGGAGAGCAATTTTCAAATAAAGGTGGTATCTTTGATTGAGAAATGTAATTTTGGTCTTTGTATACTTGTCATAGATCTCATTCTGACTCTGCTTTTGCAGTTTAAGTATAAAGAAGTCTATGAACACATAAAGGCAAATGGGTATACACTGGGACCCAAGGATGTTCCATTTGTCCATGTCCGGAGAGTCAACAATGTTACTAGTGAGGTAGGTTAACATTGATTTTCTGGGGGAAAAATAATTCAGTTTCAAAGACCATGACTTTGTTTGAAATGCATTAAAAAGAATTTATTTTATTTCAGCTGTAAACTTATACATCAGCAAAGAGTAAGAAGGTCCCTTGTGTCCCTATTCTGATACAGGTGTCCCTTGGAAGTGGTTTTCTGAATTTGGTGTCATCTCAGACACTCAGTTTCATAGACTATAAACCAAAAATTCTCTAAAGAAATAATTCCTTTTTTTGATATTTGTATTAAAAAACTTTAACAAAGCTGCATTTTGTTCTGACTCAGAACCCTAGTTTTCTACATCAACTATTGGTTTGTACATCTGATCTTACTATGCAACCGCGTGACTGAATGTAGAAAACTGTGCTCAGAATTCTTTCCCTAAATGAAACAATTACAATTTTCTCTTTTTGTCTCAATCTTAATTATTTTCTGTATTCCTGATATTTACTCTCCTCCCTTTTCATGAAAAACATTTGACAGTTTATGTCAGCAGATGTCCTCATCATTCTACACTAAACACCAAAATGGTTTTTCCCTCAATGTAGAGACTGTATCGAGAATTGTACCATAAACTGAAAGACAAGATTCATACAACTCCTGACACGCCTGAAATCCGCCAAGTCAAGAAGACTCAAGAAGCTGTCAGTGAAGTGAGTATTTTCTTAGGAGAAGGGACAACCGTTTGGAGTCCCAACCATTAAGTCTCTAATGTGTGTGTTTCTGGGGGGTTTTTTCCTTCTCTTTCAGTTGATCTACAAATCAGACTTCTTCAAGATGCAGGGCCACATGATCTCACTGCCATACACACCCGAAGTGTTGCACTGCCGCTATGTGGGAGACATCACCAGTGATGTAAGCATCTCATGGAGCTCTTTCAGGAGGAGACTTACCAAAAGGCAGGCTTGCTGCATTTGAGACAACTAGTGGTCTTTGAATAGCCTTTTCCATTGAATGCTTCTAATGTAAGTATACAACTTGAAGAGGAAATACGGTAGCATGGAAACTGTAATCCACAGTTCTCCAGCTATGGAAAGAGCAGTAAGAGGACCACTGAGGAGATCTCAGGGTTGCCCTGTTCTCAGTCACTCAGCGACTACCATTCCACACTGAGGCACTGCCAGTTCCTTCCCAAGTTCCCGTGTCCCCATCATGTGTAGCATCTTCCTCCCTCCCGCTCATCCTACTCCCATCCCTTTAGCAATTTCCTGCGGGTTTTTAAAAATTCTCCTAAAAGACCAGTCCATTATTTCTGTGCTTCCCCCATCCATGTGATAAGAATAAAATAATAGCAGTATTCTCTCCTCAGCTCAGGATTAGAGACCTAACTGAAAAAACCTGTGATTTATATGAATGAATCAAACCAAGTGCCTAGGGTGGACACGTTGAACTAAGATGAAAGGTGTACAGTATCCTCCACCTGAAGGGGATACCTTCCAAGGCCTCCAGTGATCATCTGAAACCAAGAATAGTATCAAACCCTAATATACTATGTTTTCTCCTACACACACACAGACACAAAGGGTAAAACTAGGGTAAAACTTAATTTATAAACTAGGCACAGTAAGAAATTAGAAATAATAACTAATAATAAAATAGAACAATTAAAAATGTATTAGAAGTTACTTAAAACTTATGAATCACTTATTTCTGCAAATTACCATTAATTTTCAGACCATCATTGACAGTAGATAATTGAAAACCATAGGGAGCAAAACCATGGTTGGGCGGGGTATTGTACCTCAAAAAAGAATTGTTGCTACTCTCTCTTCTCGGTTGGTGACTTACATTTGCTCATGACCACTTATCTTTTGGGGTTTGTCCCGCAGATTAAATACAAAGAGGACTTGCAGATCTTGAAGGGACTTGGCTGCTTCCTGTATGACACTCCTGATATGGTCCGTTCCCGGCACCTGAAGAAGCTCTGGGTGGGTACACACTTTTATAGTACATCACCATCCCTGCACTGCTCCATGTACCCCACCACTAGCCTGCCAGGACTGGGCAGAGAGAATCTCAGTCTACAGCTACTTTTAAGGAGAAACTGTCCATCTTGGCCAGGACTTGGCCTACTTAAAATGATTTGTGCCTCCTATAACAGGTGATGAGCTGAGGTGATAGCAATTGGTTTTGTTTCTACCAAGCAAACTCGTATCCAAGTTACATGGCAGGGCTACTCACTTTGCACAGATTAGCTGTTTGAAAGACAAAATGACATGCAATTCCTTCAATGATAAATAAACTTATATTTCTGCTTTTTTTAAAAGTCTAATTACTTGTACACTGACAATGCAAGGAAGATGCGAGACAAATACAAAGTGGTGCTTGACACTCCAGAATACAGAAAAGTGCAAGAACTGAAGACCCATCTGAGTGAGGTAAGGATGCTTTGCTTGTCACTTTCAGTGAACCAAATTGATCAGAACAAATTGAGTCTTTCAAAAAGCTTCTTGGTAATTGTCTCTAATGATCAGTTTTCAGGCAACAACAGCAGGTAAGAGTCCCTTCTTCCATTAACTGCAGAATGGTCATAATGTGTGAGCAAGTTAGTTGACCTCAGTTTGGCTCAGTTAACTTATTTTGTCCCCTTTTGGTAAGATGAGGATATTGGTACTTGTTCTTCCTATGGCTAGGACTAATGAGAAGTTTTACATGATTTTATAGATTATAAAGTCCTTCTGTCTTACACTACTGTGGTCTCCAAATACAAGTTATTTCAAAAATTTCTCTAATTCTTGCTATCAAAAACCCTAATCATAGCAGTAACATTTGAAAAGTCTTCAGTGTCTCCCTGCTTTGCTGCTCACTCAAATAAATTCCAAACTGCTTAGTTTCATTTTCATCTACCCACTTGGCATTGAGCCTCCTGATTTATTGTAGTTGTGTACTGATGAAATCCTCTGACCTAGCCAGTAAGTTTCTTGGGGATTGAACCCCATTTTTTTATTAGTATGTGTTTCCAATAGATAGTGATTGCATTCATTATGGGGAGTTGGTACATGTTGATAACACACCTTAATTCTTTTTATTTCCCATTTCCCCTCCCTTGCCCCCACCATCTCTAGATGCTTTTCCCATTTGCAAAAGATCTATCTCCCCGATTCCTATATCCATCCTTTATTTTTCTCTTTAAATTATTTATACATTGAATTTCTCATATAAGAGAAACCATGGACATTTAAGTTTGCATGTCTGAGATATTTTACTTAACATTATGATCTCAAGATGCATCCATTTTCCTACAAATCACTCATTTGTCCTTTTCAGCAGAGTAGTCCTCCATTATGTATAAATACCACATATTTTATTATCCAATCATCTGTTGATGGACATATAGCCCTCTTCTAATATTTACCTATTATGAATTATGCTGCAATATACATGGGTGAGCATGTATCACTGTGATATGATGTCTTTAACTCTTGGAAAGATACTTAAAAGAGGAATAGTTAGATAGAATGGAATTTCTATTTTTAGCTTTTTGAGGACTCTACATACTGATTTCCATAATGTTTGTACTAGTTCACATTCCCACGAGCAATGTAGAAGGGTTCCTTTTTCCTAACAGTCTCATCAGCATTTGTTATTATTTGATTTCTTGATGATGGTCATTCTTTCTGGAGTAAGTAGAATCTTAGTGTGGTTCTAATTTGCATTTCTTTAATGACCAGAGATATGTACATTTATTGGCCATTTGTACTGAGAAGTATGTATTCATTTCAATTGCTTAAGTGCGTCTTTTATTTTGGGGGTGGACCCTGTCTTATTGACAAATGTGTCTCAACAGGGTCTGAGCCATAGCAGGTGTTCATGTTTGCCAATGACTAAACGTGCTTTGCAGAGGTAAGAGCATAGCACAGATGTCAGTGGTTGCTCTTCCATGGCACTGACCACTCTCATTCTACTGTCAGTCTATATTGTGGCTTCATTCATGAGACTTTGTCAAGCTGAGCCAAGCACTAGCTGTGGATCACTTCCTCATTCTTAATAGCGCTGATGGCTGCTGATTGGGAATCTTATGCTCTTACAAATGCTGCCCTTGGTGGAGGGGATATGTATCTTCTAAACTCTCTTAGTGAGCCAGGGTCAGAGGATGAGTAACACTTCAGCAGTTACAAATGCTACTTGGGCTGATTTGCTTTCCTAAAAGTTTTTGAGTATTGTTTCAACTGGTGCTCACACTCAGACAGAAATGCTTAGGTTCTTTTTATCCTGGTAAAGTTGTACTTCTCTACTCTGGCTGAGTTGGAAGATCATCTATGGGATATTTTAAAACTACCCTTGAGTAGACTCCAACCCCTGATTCTACACCACACCAATTTTCTGTGCCTCGGGATCTGTATATGTTGAGATGCTCCATAGGTGATCCTCATTTTCCACCAGTGTTGAAAACTACTGCACCCATTTCTCCTGCAGCTACCAATTAATCTTTAAAAATTATTGGTAACTTAAAATGTTTCAGAGTAAAAGTATCCTTAAAATACTTTTTCTTCTCTTGGCAGTCTGGGTTCAGAGTTATCTAAAGCTTTAGTTTCTCTTCCCAGTTCCTATTGGAATTTTGTGTATATCATACATCAGACTTGAGGAAGTAAAAAGGATCTTTTTCAGTAACACAGTTTTTACCAAAATTATCCATAAATATGACTATTCCCCAAGTTGGGAAGGTCTAGGGTAGAGCATGCAAATATGTTTTTAATAAAGACCTTGGGAGGTCTTACTGTCAGGAAAGTTTGAAAACACTGACTTGGAAAAAAGTTTGATGGCCAAAGAACATTCAAGTTATTTACCCCTCAGTTGTCTTTACTATATTTGTAGTACTAGGAATTGGGCTTTTATCTCAAGACACATGAGGAATACATACCTAAGTACAGGGGAAATATAATACAAAAAGTATTATAAAAAATGGCTTGGGATAACTGGGTATTAATCCCAGATTTATTTCCAATTAGCTGTATGACATATATAATTCACAACTTCAGCATTTCCTAGGCTAGATCATGATTTGGGCTCCATTTAACCATAATATTCTGAGAGTTGATTCAGTTTAGTAAAAGTTTAGCCTGGACACCAGGGTGTAGCTTAGTACAGAGTATGAGCTCCGCAGGCACAAAGCCCTGAATTCAATCCCCAGCATGAAATGGGGGTGAGGATTATCCTGAAAGAAACATGAAATATTTAATTTATCTTAAAGAATAACACCAAAAATAGCTCCAAATACATGAGCTGAATTTTGTTTTAACTTTTAGTTGTATATGATTTAGATTGTAATAAATCAACATGCACATATGTATGTGTATATATATATATTTTATCTATTTAGCTGGCAATTAAAGTTTTTATATCTATTTGTTTTCTAGTTTGCCTTGTTATATTAAATCCCTTCAGCACTTATTAGAAGGCTACTATTTCTCAAGCCCTTTGTCTAGGCAATAAGTGATGAAAAGATCATACAGCTTAGCTGCTGCATTCCATGGACCCCTCCTCTGGGAGAAGAAATAGATAGCAGTGTGATAAATCATATTTTGCTTGATTAATCAAGACAGCATGTACTGTAGGAGATTTGCAGGCAGCTATAAAGGAGAAGAGCATTCTAGGCAGAAAAGATAGCATATGAAAATGGCTATGTGAGTTCTCATAACTGGGAATCTTTTCAGGTAGCACATGAAGAGGTGAAAGGATGTTGGGGAATGAGTCTAGAAACATGAATTGGGGTGGGTTATAAAGACTCAAAGGCATTGTGCTGGTGATCTTTATGAAGATCATTGAATGACTATTTTCAAAAGGCTAGACCTGCGTGTTAAGGTGTGTCTCTCAGACTTGTGAAAGATGGGTGAGCCATGTTCAGAGTCCAACAGAGGCACTGGGAAGATGGCACAGGACGCTCTTAAGGACATGGACTGAAGGTTGAAGGGGGCAGTCGTGGTGGAAAAGGAGTAGAAGGACCAAATTTCAGGACTCTCACAAAGTTAGAGCCCAGGGTACATGACCATTCTGATGTGAGAATGAGGGAGAAGGAGTCCAAGAAGACTCCCTGAGATTCTATCTGGGTGACTAGGAGATCAAAGATTCATTAGCAAAACAGAGGAAACAGAAGAAGCCAGATTTGTATTGGAGATGAAGGTGATATAAAGAGTTTTACATTGAACATATAAAATTACTTGTATTTAGAAAGTTGTTGAAAATTTGAGTCCTGAGTTCATGAGGGATCCTGAATATACAGATTTGGAAGTCATCAATCTCAAAGTGATGATGGAGGCTGTGGGTATACATGAGTCACCCAAGGAGAACATGTAGGGTAAAAGAGCCCAACCCTTAACTCCAACTCATCACTGAACTCGAGGTGGAAGCCAAGCTATGCCCTTGAGAAATTAATCAAAAAGAGGGAAAGAAGAAACACACACATGCCTTGGCTGAGGAAGTAAGGCAGGAAGTTATTGGCTTGAGGCTGGAAAATGCTTAATGAAGGGAGGAACTTGAGATTGATTGAGGATATAGGGAGAGGGCTGGAAAAATAGGAAAGTTTGAAGATATGAAGGAGAGGGAGGTAATTTTCAGTATAGAGTTCTAGAAGAAACACGTGAGAATGGACCAAGACTATGGTAGGACAACTGACTCCTGGATAGCTAGAGAATGTCTCTTAACACGAGGGAATGAAGGAAGGACGATTCAGGTGGTAAGTAGTAATACATGACTGGTTTATTAGGAAAAAACTGAGTCTATTGGAGTGTAAGGGCCCCTGCCTTTTCTATAAATTAGCAATAAAGGCATCTTGAGAGAACACACCATGTTTGTGAAGGAGAACTGATAGTGATGGCTTGTTTTGTGTCTAGCTGGTGTACAGAGCTGCAGGAAAGAAGCAGAAGTCCATCTTCACTTCAGTTCCTGATACTCCTGATCTTTTGAGAGCCAAGCGAGGGCAGAAGCTTCAGAGTCAGGTAACATCAGTTGTCAATGAAGACTCATAACCCTCCACACTGGGATCACTCCGGGGGCTGTGCATCTCCCACCTTTCTGACCAGTCCAGACTCTCACTGTAGGTTGTCCTCGCTGCAGCTTCATTAACTTTGCACTTCAAGAAGCAATTTCCTGCTGGGAGTCGTAGAACACACCTGTAATCCCAGCACTCTGAGAGGCTAAGGCAGGAGGATCATCACATGTTCAAGCCCAGCCTTGGCAACCTAGCAACTTAGTGAGACCCTGTCTCAAATAATACAGGGCTGGAGATGTAGCTCAATGTGAAGGTCCTGGGTTGTTCAACCCCCAGTACAAAAGCAGTTTTCTTTTGTTCCATCATAGTATAGTTATGTTTTACACAAGCTGGGGAAGCCATAAAATTTTTTCTACCTGTTGTACAACTTTGTCATTGAATGAGTGCTCTTTGGATTCCAAGTAGTGAAAATGATTGTTTGGTCATTCCTTGATATATCTATTATCCAGACACCAGTGAAACCGCAGTTTATACATTCAGGCAAAGAAAGGGAGAAATAGAATAAAGAATCTATCAGAATCTTCTCACTCTTCCACTGGCATTGTTTATCATGTAGCTCTAGATTGGACCATGAGAATACTAGATTATTGGAGCATGTCTATGTATCTTCAAATGTATGGCACAGAAACAAAGTAACAGAAATGCATATAACAAAAAAGCAAGCAAACAGTCAAACCAAAAAAAAAAAAGAACAATAAGCAAACACTGCTCTCCTGTTTAAAGGTTAGAAATGAATGAAGAGGACTAAATACTAGATGTTTCATCTTTATGACATCTCACCCTATTCTCTTATTATTCAGTATCTGTATATTGAACTTGCCACCAAAGAAAGGCCCCATCATCATGCTGGAAACCAGACCACAGCTCTAAAACATGCTAAAGATGTGAAGGACATGGTCAGTGAGGTAAGATGGGGGAGATTGGGCATTAAGGCACTCGGTTAAGGAAAAAAAACTTTGTTAGAACCTTCACCTGCTACCTGTGATCAGAGTTCATTACTATAAATTGTACTCAGCGACATCAAAAGAGAAGGGGAAGCTATTCCCTAAAAGAGTGTGGTGCATTTTGTTCCTCCTCTAGATCCGTGACTTGGTTGCACATTGGGAAGGGTAACAACACTTGACTTATGTTTGTCTCTCTTTTCTACTTTTGTTTTTTAGAAGAAGTATAAGATTCAATATGAAAAGATGAAGGATAAGTACACCCCTGTTCCAGATACACCAATCCTCATCAGAGCCAAGAGGGCGTACTGGAATGCCAGTGATGTAAGCATCCCTTCCTTCTTCCTCCTGTTATAGGGAGAACTAGGGTTGAAGTACCTATGAAATATAAAAAAAACTGTTCAGTCATACTCATAGTCCAAAGTCATAGCCCACAACATGGATCAGGAAAAAAACACAAACTCACTTAAACAGTCAAGCAAAGTAGCTAAGAATAGTATTAAGAAATGCTGGAAGCCTATATATCTCAACTCTCCTGGGCAAAAATATGACCCTCTCTTTCGTTTTTTAGTAGCATTTCCCAGGGATACTTGGCAATTAACTTATCCGTGAAATCATGGTTTTGGAGTTGAACAAATGTACATTCAAATCATGATGCTGTCATTTGCTTGTTCTATGACTCTAGATAATTTGCCTAATTTTTCTTTTCTTATATATCAAGTAAGGATGAGAATTGTGAAATTAAGACTGCACAAGAAAATGTATATAATATTCCTACCACTCTACCCTGCTTTTAATTGACACTCATGAAATGGTTCCTTTGAATGATTTGTGACATAATATTAGTTGGATTTAGAAAGGATTGATTTTTGTATCTTGTATCATGTGATCAAGGACAAGTCTGCCTATTTTTTTTCCTGGTACCAGGGTTCAAACTCAGGACCTTGTGCTTGCAAGGCAAGCGTGGCACTACTGAGCTAAATCCCCCATCCCATGTCTGCCTTTTAACAGTAATGAAGATATGAAATCATTCAACCTGTGGTAGATAGCCAGCTCTACTAGTTTTGTGAGTAGAGCTTCACTACATAATTCACTGTATTCATTGCCAGAACCAGAAACTCTAGTGGACTAGATATGTTGAGTCTTAACCCCAGCCACAAGCCCCAGCCAGCCCCATAAACCTCAAGTTTACAATATAGCCCTAAGATTTCAAGGAACCTTAAGGTGATGGCACTGATCTATATCAGTTTTTATTTGATGCTGTGGGAAGTCTACTAGTTGGAAAGACATAATGCCAGTTAGTGCTTAAGATGTAAGCTGAGAAAATTATATATTCTCAAAATTTGTCCCTTAGGACATCTTTAGTCGTCTGCTGACATCCTTTATCTTTATCGTTCAAGATTCTGTTGAACATTAATTTATACCAAACTTAACTTGCATCATACAGGGGAAGTTGCACAGTGAAATTGGTCCCAGGGGCTCATTATGGCCCATTGGACAGCTTTATCCTTGGGCTCCCTCAGCACCAATTCTGATAATCCCAATATTTAAGAAGTCCAGTGTAACAAGGATGGTATCTGGTGTTAAATTCAGTGTATAACCATCATTGTCATAATAATTTTATGAGATTATCTGTCTAAAAAAAGCTTTTTAGAAAAGGTAGTTTTCATTATGTGTTTACTCAGCTACTCAAAAGGAAAAAAACTTATTTGAGTTTGAAAACAGAGTGCTGAAAGAATCACCTATCTGTGTAGATGAGACGAACCTTCTGTACTACTCTGAGGTTAGAGTTAGGATCAAAGCTTTTTTCTCTGGAAATATCACAAAGATAAGGATTATAATAAAATCTCAGGATTGCTTAGTGGAGAAGTCATCTTGACATTAGGAGCTAAATCTCTTCCCTTTTCATGTACATTAATGGATATTGGACTCAATGTGGCTGTTTGTTTTTCTTCTTCTCCTTCCAAATGATGAGTTTATTTTACACTTCCATAAATTTAAGTAGTCTTAGATTTACAAAAAAGTGGCAGATAGTAGAAAGAATGCTTTTCTTGTTAACCAATTATACTAACATCATACATTTGTCACAACCAATAGAGCAATACTGATACATTATTCATATTAATCCATACTTTGGTTAGGTTTCATTAGTTGTCCTTGGTATCCTTTTTCTCTTCTAGGATCTGAAATTATCTTTAAAACTTTCCCTAAATCTAATCTAAAAACTAAAAGACTCGAAAGAGTTTAAGCTTAAAAGAACTCAGTTATTTAACTTGGTATTTTTCATAATCCATGTACTTTTTTTCTTTCCAGCTACGCTACAAAGAAACATTCCAAAAGACCAAAGGGAGATACCACACTGTGAAGGACGCTCTGGATATTGTTTACCATCGCAGAGTCACAGATGATATTAGTAAAGTATGTACCTAGATATTTCTCCTTGTATTGGCTCTGTAACCCACCATTTTTGGAGTGTGAGGTGGGAAGGATACTTGACATTGACCCCAGAGCCTTCTCTAGTCCTTTTTTAAACTAGAGATATAGAGATTAGTCTTTTTCTTTTCTTTCTTTCTTTGTTTTGTTTTTGTTTTTGTTTTTGTTTTTTTTTGACATAAGGTCTCATTCAGTCTCTAAGTTGCTTATGCTGGGCTCAAACTTGAGACCTTCCTGCCTCACTCTGCCTTCCAGAGTGCTGGGATTATAGACATGCACCATCATGCCTGGCAATAACTCACCACATTAAAAAGCAATTTCCCTCCTCTAAAACCCCAGAGGAAAGTAGATGTTTTTACATTAACTTTGGTGAGACTTTATGGCTATCTTTATTTTTTTTATCACAGGTGAAATACAAGGAGAAATACATGAGCCAGCTGGGAATCTGGATGTCTATTCCTGATCGCCCAGAACATTTCCACCACCGGGCAGTCACGGATGCAGTCAGTGATGTGAGAGTTCACATCTTCTGTTTTCACATAGAATTTCATATTCTTATATAAATTATGAAACCATCCATAAAACCTGATGAAGCATTTGCTCAGATTCTAGATCTTGTGTATGGATGTTTAAATTGTATAATTCAATTGCTAAATAAGTAAATTTCAATTTGAGAGAAGGAAAAATATGCTCACGTTTATAAACTGAATTTTTCTTCTGAACGTATGATATTACATACGTTCAGAAGAATGTGTATGATTCATGAAGAAATGCAGTACTGTCTATAAAACAAAGAGCCTATTTTTGATCCATTGGAGAGGTAATTTTGTAGAGCTAATAAGACATATAACAGTGCTCATCTAGAGAGAAATTTCACCTCTCTCTGTGAAAATATAGTAGCCAAGCTAATGATACACTCTCTGGAAGAATATGCCTGTTAAATTTGCATTGCTTTAACTAGTAGTAAAAATGAAAGTTTCTACATACTATAAACAATGTACCATAAAATAAGCAGAAATCAGTATTACTGGAAGCATGTTAAATAGTTTTAATACTTCATTATTCCCTATATCTCAGGAATCATGGCTTCTGTTTGTTCCACCTTTATAGATCCTAACCTATAGCTATTTGGAGGTGTTCTTAAAATACTTTGATGATGTTCTTCCAGGTAAAATATAAAGAAGATTTGACCTGGCTTAAAGGCATTGGTTGTTATGCCTATGATACCCCTGATTTCACCCTGGCTGAACAGAACAAGACTCTCTACAGCAAGGTACATCTTCTCAAGAATAGCTACATCTATTCAGCATCTACTTAGCATCTACTTGCACTCACAGAGAGGGTAGCACTGAGGAAAGAGCCCGTCTTTGTTACTTCTCTCATTGTTGAGACAAGACACCTGACACCCAAAAGTTAAAGGAGAAAAGGATTATTTTAGCTCAGTTTGTAGAGGTTTCAGTCCATAGTTGGCTGACTCCAAGACAAGGTGGCATGGCACAGGGGCATCACAGTCCATGGTAACAACAAGCCTCCCTTTCCCTGTTATCCCATCCAGGCTACAAGCCTTTTGGGTTGTACCACCCACCCCATCGTGGGCCTTCCCATTATCCACACCCAGAATTATGCTAAACCAGTCAGTGGACTGAGTTAATTATCACATCCTTAATCCATATTCATACATACTTAATCCTCATTTAATCCTTAATCCTCACCCTATGTCCAGCCACCTCCAAAAAGCCCCACCTATGAGCACATGAGGCTTTGGGAGAACATCTAGATACAAGCCATAACATAGCCTTTCATATTTCCATCCCTACCTTCACTTCTACACCCTATGACTGGAATATATACTGAACTATTCACTGTCTCTAGGAATTTCTTTAGTATTAACCTCATTGACTACAGTTTATTTGAATTTGATTTTGATGGAAAGTCATCTTGGTACAACTGTTCATGGCTATTACAGAATCCCCTCCATATTAATATATCTCTGGGTGATTTACCCCAACAGAGCTGATATCTATGGTAACAAATATAAAGCAGGGTTACTTTAATCCACAAACAATTTACAGCTTGAGAAAAATCAAGTTTTTATGGCCACATTTTCCCATTTGCAAATTAAAGCAGTTGAATTTCCTTCCGCTGAATTCTGAAATAGGAGTCACCAACTGTTTCTGATGAGTGCCAAATACTGGACATTTTAGATTTTTCTGGGTCACATTCATTCTAGTATATATTCTTCTTCTTTTTTTTTTCTTTGCAACCATTTAAAGTTGTAAAAACCATTGTTAACTCATGGGGTCTTTTCAAAATAGATGGCAGCTGGATAGGTCATAATGTACCCCTACTCTATAAGAGTATAACAATCTAATTAATTGTTAGAAAACTATATTTAAATTAATAAACTAAAAACATGAAAATGTTTTTAAAGTAAAATAATAACATATAGAAAGTAAAAAAGAATTTGATTTAGATTTTAGCTCCACATGGAAAACATATTTATTTGATATCCATTCAATGAAAGTTCTCTACAGTGTATTTTTGGGCTCATTTTCAAGACATCTAGCAAGGTCTACCTTTCACTGTTTTGGGAGATGGAGTAGAAGTTTAGTAGATACCTGTACTTGGTAGTAAGTGAATGAATTTCTATGAATAAATTATCAGGTTCATATAAGTAGCATGTCTCGTTCTTAAAATATGACATGCTATTAAGTAATCCTGTTCTTTTTCTCTAGTATAAATATAAAGAGGTATTTGAAAGGACCAAGTCAAATTTCAAGTATGTTGCTGACTGTCCAATCAATAGACATTTCAAGTATGCGACTCAATTGATGAATGAGGTATGTATGAACTAATTTAATTAGCCCTATTCAGTTCCTTTTAGAAGTTTACAGTTATTTGATTAAAAACTAATATATGCCATGTCAGCAAAGGTATCCTCAGTGTTCCTTCAAAGTAGATATTTGGAAAGACTGTATAATGTCACCATTGATAGTGTCTGTCAAAATCATGAATAAGAAGAAGTGAAGACCCAAAAACTCAAGGTTAAGCTAATATCCTTTATGAAGTCACCATATGACAGTGGTTCAAAGAGCTACCCCAAGGGCAGAGTTGTGACTCATGCATTCAAATATGTTGCCGTTGTAACTCCCCATGTGTTAGTGTATAGAAATATCCATCTACACCATGTTTTTCCTTTATATTCTGCCCAGTTTTTCCTGTAACCATCCTTGCAAAAATTTAAGTTAAATTTAATTCAAGATAGCTGAAATAAGCAAGATAAGAATTTACTTATGGTTTCCCAATGTTTGGATGCTTTTATAATTAAAATTATTTTTAACTTCCTATTTTCAGATTCACATGGAATTATATGAATTCAAAAATATTAAAAAATTACTTGCGCAAGCGCAAGGACCTGAGTTCAATCCCCGGTACAAAAAAAAAATTACTAAAAATTTAAAAAATTACTAAAATATATCTAACAGTGAAAATGTACTCAATGATATATGTATTTAAATGTATGACATTTTATTGTTTCTTTCTATTTTATTTTAAAATTTGATTTAGTTCATTTTCAGTAGATTTCCAAGCTGGACACTACAGAAGAAGTGCTGATGGTAGCCTTCTGGGAGGACAGTCTTGATATATTTTGTTTCTGTTTTTCTATTTAAGCAAAGGATTTGCAGGTCTTTTTAAAAATTAAATAATTTAACTAGTGTCCAGATATGTTAAAGACTGTACCAATTTTTCCATGAGTGTTTTAGCATAAGTTATGGCATTTGGATTCTCACATCCTTAGATGGTAAGCCTGTAGTTTATCAGTACTTTATTTTAAATACAATATAAGATGCCATGAAACCTAACATTGCTAATGGCATCACATGAAAAGATAGAAAATGAATAGGCACAAGTTATTCCAGTTTCAGCTTCGTAAATCTGATCTCTCCCAGGCTCCAGCCTTCTCCAAGTGATCTTCCTTCACTAGACTATCTTTGCCTCCTTGATTTTATTGTTCTGTCTGTTTAGGGAACCTGCTCCTAGAAATGACATGATTTTTGGCTCTCAGGAATATTTAACCTGGGACATTTCTGTGTAGTCTTGATTTTGTACTCTTGCTATAATTTGATATGATGTTTGAGCAGAAAAAATACAGAGCTGATTATGAGCAACGGAAAGATAAATACCACCTGGTAGTGGATGAGCCTAGACATCTGCTGGCTAAGACGGCAGGCGACCAGATCAGTCAGGTACTGTGATGGGTCTGGCCAGATGGCCCAGGCAGGACTGTGCTCCGGTTTCTCATGAGGTGTCGTCCCGTCCGCTGCAAGGATGTCATAGGTTCTGCCTATGATATTGGGCTGTACTGTCTCAGAATATCTGTCTAGCCACCCAAAGAGCCCGTGAGCTGTTTGAGTGAGCCGGTCCACACTGTGTCCTCACTTGTGCTGTGGTGAAGATGAAAGCCGGGTCTTCCAGAACTTTATTCTGTAGAACTTGTTTGTAAACAGCAACTACAAATTGCCTTGAGTTTAAAACAAAACTATGGAAGGAAAAAAAATGGAACTTCCTACTATATTTTTCTATTCTGATGATGGCTTCTTCTCTATATAGCAATTTGGGTTGTTACTTAAGCGAGACTAGCTGTATCTTCCCCCATTCACAAGAACTACTGACAGGCAACTGCAAATATTGCAGTCACCGTACCTGGCATTTCATACATTTGGTGTCTTCATCCACATAGCTATGTGAGTACACAAAGTGTGTGTGCCTACATCTCTTCACTCAGAGGTGATTGGGATATAGAGCCGTGTTCCCTTCTGTCTTCATAAGTCTCTTTTGTGCTTCACTGCTCTTTGCATGAACAGAGAAAATATAAATCTATTGCCAAGATGCTTCTGAAACAAGGATGTAATGAAATTCTGCGTCCAGATATGTTGACTGCTCTCTACAATACACACATGTGGAGCCAGGTAATGTCTGATGAGCTGTGAAGAAGGAGGCTTAGACCATAGGTGCATTCCCTTTTATGCTTCCATTGGGCTTCTCTCCCTGCTCCTGCCCACGTGAGATTCACATGGTAAAGGTGGATAAATATCCATTCCTTATTATTGAGCTCTTAGTGTGGCCAAGCATGAGGAGGGGTCAGCTATCATTTTTGTATCTGCTACTTTGGGAGTTCCAAGCAAGATTAGCTGAGACTCTCTCAAACATTACTTCCAAACTGGTATAACACCAATTTATATTTTTCAGTATTTGCCTCAAAGAAATAGATTCCTGCCGGGGATTTAGCTCAGTGGTTCTGACACCTTTCTCAGAAGTGCAAGGTCCCAAGTTCGATCCACAGTACAAAAAAAAAATAAATAAATAAATAAAATAAAATAAAATAAATAGATTCCTTAGCAATTGAGGCTATTTAGCAGATTCAATAGCATTTAAAGGTCTGAATGTTTTCATCTAATTTTCCCATTGTTCAATTACCACTGCAACTGTATCATTTGGGAGAAATAAGGGTCACCCTACAGCTTTTTAAATATTGCACATATTCATGGTGCTTTTGAGGTTGGTATTGAATTGCTAGATTACTTCCAGCCTGTTTTCCCACACGGTGTTAACCATGCCACCGATAAAGCTGATTCCCACAAGGTCAACTGAAGCACATACTATTATATTTCCATCAGTGGCTGGAAAGCAAATAGAGAACAGCAATAAATGGTACTAATTGTTAATTATCAGGCACAATATTAATAAAATGCCATTTTTCCAAACAAGAAAAAGTGGGGGTTTTTTGTTGTGGAGACAGGATCTTGCCTTGTAGTTCAGGCTGGTGTTAACCTCACTACGTAGCCTAGGCTGGCTTTGAACTTGGGGGAATCCTCTTGCCTCAGCCTCCTGAGTGCTGGAATTACAGATGTGCACTACCATACTCCACTCCTGAAAAAGGTTTTAATCAGTCTTTTGTATTAGGAACTTGTTTTACCATTTTGGTTTTCCATCAGACTGATGCAAAAATGAGAGTGAGCTCTTCCATAAACATCCTGTTTGCCTGAACTTTTTCCTAGGCCTTTGTATGATCGTTAAACACTTGTGCATGAAATTTTGTTGTGATGTCTGTATCTGTCCTGCTTCAAACAGCTTATGTGCATGTAAAAATGATGACTTACAAATTACAAAAACAAATGTATTTTTAAATGATCAATACTTCTCAAACTATATATACCATACTTAGGTTTTATTTTGTATCTGTTTTCCATCTTTGATATGGAAAAATATTTTGAGACCACTCATATGTTACAAGTGAAACCGTACTTAACAGAGTACAGAGGATGAGGTTTTAGTCCTGCTGTGAGATTCCCTTACATGTGCCCATGGCTCAATCTCCTAACCTCTCAGGCCTCAGTTTATTTCCATGTGTATAAAATATATTGGAAAATATTATTCTCTGTTCACTCTACTGCACTATTCCTATCAAATACAAGTTTATATCAAACATATCCAGTTAGGATTTAAAGTGAAAGCTACCCTGACACCATCTCCAATTCTGGTGTTTCATTTGATTTCTCAGAGTTAACTCGTTCTTCTCTTCTACAATCTAGATCAAGTACAGAAAAAATTATGAAAAATCAAAAGACAAATTCACTTCTGTTGTGGACACTCCAGAACACCTGCGTACTACAAAAGTCAACAAACAAATCAGTGATGTAAGTACAAGAAACACCGAGTAGATGCTCAGACTTGGGGCATTTGTGAATGTGAAGGGCCATTTGAGATTGTCACATCTGAGAGATAATAGCCATTTAGTGGGAGGGAGGCAAGGGTGATGCATGTCTGCTCTGCACAGAACTCTTCCAACCAAATTGGTAGCCATTCCAGTTGAGAAACACTGAGGTCTTAGCAGAGAGCCTGAAAATATGAATTTATGGAATTCTCTTTTCTTTACGTTCACCTTCTCCAAAAAAGCTTTGCATTTATATTTTTACACTGAAACATGGGAAGTATAACATTGTGCTTTTTAATCTCCTTCAGATACTTTATAAACTGGAATACAACAAGGCCAAACCCAGAGGCTACACCACAATCCATGACACGCCCATGTTGCTGCATGTCCGCAAGGTCAAAGATGAAGTCAGTGATGTAAGTTCTGGAGCGGCCTATCAGTTTCTCTTTTTGTGTCACTATCTAATACAATGTAACAAAGTCTAGCTCAGTTACCTATCCCTGAGTTACAACCACCCAAAAGCCTAGTGGCTTAAAATAACAATCATCTGTTTGGCTTGTGATTCTGCAAGTTGACTGGGCACAGCCAAGTAGTCCTATTGCACATGCTGTTGGCAGACATCTGAGGTTCGGCTGGGCCAGGACATCCAAGATGGCGACTCCGAAACAACCAGCCCCAGTGCACAAAACTGCTTACAAGGTGCCATTAAACTGAAGAAAAAAGCTGAAAGATCTAGTGCTTCACAGAGTGCAATTTATTACTGACAGAAGCATGGTTCTAGGAAGCAACAATACCAAGTGGGTCCCTGCAATCTGGGCCAGAAGGAAGGACACACATATTGGTCAGAATGAAAGGGACTTCACCCAAGCTGGAATGTACCTAATTTCTCTTAAGCTAATATCAAAGTGTCAGGCATATTTGTGGCACCAGGGTCTGATTGTGAAGCTACACGTAGCACTCTAATTGTTTTGTCTATTTATGTACTAGAAACTCTGCAGGAAAAACCGACACAGGGAGGGTTTGGGGACAATCATGGTTATGGCTCAAGATGGCTGCAGTCATATCAAGCTGAATCTATACAGTGGGTCACTCACGTGGCTGGCAGTTGATGAGAGCTGTGGGCTGAAAGCTTGGCTCTTGTATAGATGGAAACCCTTCTGTGTGACCTCACTACATAGCTTGAACATCTCACAGGATAGAGCTGGGTTCCAAGAGGTAGAAAGTAGAGGCTTCCATGTCAGCATAGGGCCGCTGCTAGAATTGGTATAGCATTATTTTTTCCAACTTTTATGCACTCAGATTCAAGAAGTATATTACCTTTTTGTCACTATAACAAATACTGAGATCGGTTAACTTATGTAAAGAAAATGTCTGTTTTGGTTCAGAGTTTCAGAGGTTTTAGTCCATGGGCAGTTGGGGTCCTGTTGCATTGGTCTTGTGGTGACGTATCACACCATAGTTAAACACATGATGGAACAAAACTGCTCACCTTGTGGCCAGAACACAAAAGAGAGGAGGAGGAAGGGGCTGGGATCCCATCATCCTCTTCAAGGTCCCACCCCTAGTGACTGAAAGACCGCTCACTAGACCCCACCTCTTAAAGGTCCCCCACTTCCCAATAGCACTGTGGCCTGGGGACCAAGCCTTTTACACCTGTGCTCTGGGGAACATACCAGCTCTGAATTATGCAAGAAGTAAAGTGACCCACATCTCCTCTGGATGAATAGATAACAAAGTGACAATGCAGAGCAGTATGAGGGGTGGGAGAGAATGTTAGCCCATTCAACAAAATGAAGTGTACCATAGATGCTATTAATAATCTGTAGGAAATCAGCTGGAGATTTAGCACAGTGGCACTGTGCCAGCCTCACAAACACAAGGTCCTGAGTTTGATCCCTAGTACCAGAAAAAAAAAAGTCTATAAGATTTATTACAAGAGACAAACTAGCTGTTGTATTCTAATACTCTGGATTTGAGGAAAAATTGTACTCATAAATTTTCAGATATTTGGCTTGGTTCTGTGGTTGAAAACTATCATCCTTTTGGTTGATTAAAAAAATATCAGTGATGGAGCTGGGGATTTAGCTCAGTGGTTTTGCTGCCTGCTGCCCAAGCGCAAGGACCCGAGTTCAATCCCCGGTACCAAAAAAAAAAAAAATCAGTGTTTCAAAGAACTCCATGGTGACATGACCTTTTGGGCACCAGGAAGAATATCAAAGGCAACTGCGGAATAGCTCATTCCTACCCCAGAGCCTTGGCTACAGCTGGTGCTCAGAGAGAGTCTTTCATAGATGAATAAAGAAATGTGTGTTGGCCTGGAGTCATCTGAAAAACAAACCAACACATTCAGTGCACTTACATATATATATATACATACATACATACATAAAGCATCTCAGGAATATGAAATATGTTAAAATAAATTTTGGTGCTATAAACAAGAATATCAAATGTTATAAGCATCTATCACATAGGTCCCTTATGTGGAACAGTCCATTTTCTAACACTGCAGAGAAAAGCATTTCTGCATCCATTTCCCCAAGCTTTTGTAAAAATAGCTAGGTGTGCTGATTAAAAAAATATGAATTTCCAGGTCTTTCCTCTTAAGATATTGATGAATAATCTAGGCCTATGGTGAAGTCCAGAAAATTAGATTCTTATGATCAATTTAGTACACCCTACTTTGGCCCCCTTAGAACAGTTTCTTTTAGTTTTAATCACATTAAAACCTAGCATCCTGGCCGAGGATTTAGCTCAGTGGCACGGTGCCTGCCTCACAAGCACAGGGTCCTGAGTTCGATCCCCAGTACCGGAAAAAACAAAACAAAACAACAACATCACAATAAAAATCTAACATCCTTACCCCCAAATTAATGAAAAAACCCAAACTGGAAGTCAGCACCATAAAATTTAAGAGAAATAAAAGTGGAGTAATCTAGAAAGTCCTGGGAAGATGGGGCAACTTCCTTCCCTGGGCCCTTCCCTCCCATCTAACCTCCAAACCCTAAACCTGCTATACACCATGCTAGCACTAGCAGTGGTGAGGAACATACCCATCCATTCATTCATCTAGTATTAGTTTCTGTGTGCAGACACCAGGAATGTGATGATGAATGAGACAAACCCTTTGCTCTGAAAGAGTTCTGTGTAAGAGACTAAGCAGATGAACAATTACTGTGTGACATGTTAGTACCAAGAAATGTGACAGCAGAGAAGAATATGACTCAAATTTCATCCTGATGAGCTGGCAGCTTATGGCTTCTCTTGTGAAAGCAGTTTTCAAAATGTTCTGGACTCCGGGCTTTCTGACTTGGAAAAGGGAAAGCATGCATGGATAGCTGTTCAGTTGGTTCTTTCACATGAGCTTGTGGAGGTAAAATCCTGCAGCAACACTGGTGACCACATTCAAAGTGCCCTAGGAGCTGGTGTTCAGGTCGGAGACAGGAAAGTGCATCCTGCATAGATTCTTCACTGCAGAATTTACAAAAATATCCTATTATAGGGAGCATTGTGTAGTAAAGTCAGTTTTAATTTCTTAGTTTTTAAAATGCTCAGTAGGCTGCTACAGAAAATTATCATTGTCATTCTGTTTCCTCCCACAGCTGAAATATAAAGAAGTTTACCAAAGAAATAAATCTAACTGCACCATTAAACCAGATGCTGTTCATATCAAAGCAGCCAAGGATGCCTACAAAGTTAACACCAATGTAAGTTCTAGGAGTTTCTCTGCACTCTTAAGGCTCCCACCTGTTAATGTCAAAATGGCAGTTAAATTCCAACATAAGTTTTGGAGGAGTTGTCTGAACCCTAACAAAGCCTGATGGGGCTTTGTCAGCTTCTGCAGGACGTGTGGCCTCTTTTCAAATTTGTTCAGGTGGTTGAGCTCTAGTGCATCCAGATCAGGAGTTAGGCCCAGGAGCCGAAAACAAAATGATGCCTTTGGTCCCCACAAAGGTGATGCTGAGTAGCAAGGGTGGCCTCACCTCGTGCCATGGGTATGACACCCAGCTGGCCTTTGTAGTGGGTGGCTGTGAAGTAGGGCCTCTAATTCTAAAGGCTGCACTTTAGAAAGTGCCTCAGCATCTCATTCTCCTCCCCGGGCTTCCTTCCTGGCTCAAACTCTAGAGTCTGCTTCCTTCTTCTGAAGCAGAAAATTTCTGAGCCATCTGGTCTCCTCAGGGGTTGGCCTGGACCTTCCCCCTGCTCAGCTACTCCCTGGACTGACTGCTCTCTCAGCTCTCTTTGGGTGGAGCATCTTAAAGCCTCTACCACAGAAACAATGCCATCATTTAGATAGCACTGACTTTTTAAAAATATAAATGAGGGGCCAGGGATTTAGCTCAGTGGTTTCACCACCTGCCTCACAAGCACAAGGTCCCAAGTTTGATCCCCAGTACCTAAATAAATAAATAAATGGTTAGCGTAATGAAACCATTACAATGCAACTAATGCTTATGCTTTCCAGAGAGAAAACATTTATTATGGCCAGCAAACCAAGGCACCTGGAAGAGTTGGCAGATAGCTTGCAGATGTCCTGAGAGTGGGCTGATGGATAGGTAGAGGTGGAGGTGTGGGAGAAAACAGGTGCAGCAAAACGTACAATATGGAATGAAGGTGGTGGTTGCGTGGGTATTCTCTGTCATTGGATGACCTCAGAGTGGCCAATTTTCTGCATAAATTGTACAGATTTTAATTAGGGATTTCATATCAAAAGCTATAATGTGTGGTGTATTAAAAATCCAAGTCCCTCTGTGCCTAGTGTGTTTATGAATTCTTCCTGATTGATTCCTATCATGTTAAAAACAGCTGGACTACAAGAAACAATATGAAGCCAACAAAGCCTACTGGAAGTGGACCCCTGACCGACCAGACTTTATGCAGGCTGCCAAGGCGTCCCTGCAGCAAAGTGATGTAAGATAGATAGACATAGCGGTTATTCATAATACTGCTGTGGGTGTTAACCCTAATTTGGGATCCAATAGGAAGAGGAGGGTTGAGGGGAGCGAAAGGCACGCTCAATGATGCAAACCTGGCCACTGAGCCCATTTTCCTACTGCTGTACCCAGACACTGAGGGCTCAGTCCTGACTGGGACTGGGGAGACCCTGGGGGAAGGCTGGAATGGCAAAACTTGGTCTTGGTTCCCAGGATGGAAAAAAAAGAGCTCAGCATGCTGTGAGTGGCCAGGAAGCTGTCCTTCATTCAGGGAACGTGGCCTTATCATCCCCTTAAGAGGACTCTCTTTGAGTTTGCTCAAATGCCCAGCTTCCTCTTGTGCTTGTGAACCATTCTTCCTCCGCTTTTTCTTCCATCACAGTTTGAATACAAGTTGGACCGAGAGTTCCTCAAGGGCTGCAAGCTTTCTGTCACTGATGACAAAGACATGGTGCTGGCCCTCAGGAATTCCTTAATAGAAAGTGATGTAAGTATCCAGTCTCTTCCACTGTACCTAACTTCCTCAGGCACCTCCTCTGTGGCACAGTCCCCAGGGCCACCCAGGAAAGGACAGAGAAGGGCAGGTCTGTAGGAGTTCAGGTGTGGTCCTGAAACATAGCTGTGCCCTGATGGACACCAGTGATGTGACTGAGCCAGGCAGCAGCTGTGCCGAGGCTGAGAAACCCAGGTTACAGCTTTCCGTCTACTCTGTATCACCTGGCATTTCGAACAGCACAAACTAGGAACTGGAAGGCCTGGCTGCATTCTGTATGAGAACATAATCATTTCTCTTCTGTGGCATCATATTCTTCCTATACTGTAGTTTTCTCATCTGTAAAGAAATAATGCCTCCCAGGGCTGACAGGAAGGCCAACTGACGTATTTGAACATGTTTTGAATTAATATCTATCTATATGGCGATCCGTCATGTGATACATTTTGATTGTTACTACAACTTCAACTTGCAAGTAATAAGGAAAAACTTCTTTCAGGTATTTCTCAGGATTTCCAAGCATCAGAATCTTTAAATGAATTTTGTGATCTTAGTTTGTCAATAATGCTATTCTGCTGGCTATACTCTAGTGATTTGGGGGCTTAATAAAAACGTGCAGGAACCCTACAGGAGCTAAAGAAATGCTCCCTTTCTCCCCAGCTGAAATACAAGGAGAAACATGTCAAGGAAAGAGGAACCTGCCGTGCTGTGCCTGACACTCCTCAGATCCTCCTGGCAAAGACTGTCAGCAATCTGGTGTCTGAGGTAACCCTCCTGTAACCCATATGCTCTGCTCCTGTCTTGGACTCAGCCCCAGGCAGATGCTTTAATAATCTTCCTGTGGATTCCCTCAGAACAAGTACAAGCGCCATGTCAAGAAGCACCTGGCCCAGGGCTCATACACAACACTGCCAGAGACCCCGGATACTGTTCACGTGAAGAAAGTTACCAAGCACGTCAGTGATGTAAGTGACCAGCCATGGGATTCTTGCAGCAGCAACAGCACTTTCCCTTAGTGACTGCCTTTTTGCTTACAGATGCTTTTCTTTACATAGCTTCACTCTTACCATCAGTATTTACATGGGAACCCTAAACTCTAATTTAAAAAGATTCTGTGTGTATTGGCTTTCTAGTTAGGGTAATTATGACAGATGAGGACATATCTAAAAATATAAGCTGTCATTAATAATGCTAATAATGCAGATTAAGGGTATCCTCTCCTGCTGTTAAAATTGTTGCTATACAATTTTATTTTTAAATTTTTCATTCTTTTAGTATGTATTTGTAGTACATAATGTTTACACTGCTTGTGTGGAGTTGGTACACATGCATAACATGCCACGATTCTTTTTCATCCCTTTTCCCTCCCTTCCCTCTCCTTTCCATCTCTTGATCCCCTTCCCCTTTAAGAAAGATCTGCCTCCACACCTAGTATCTTTTATTTTGCTCTTCATCTATACTTTGGGCTTCTCATATAAGAGAAACCATGCTATAGTTAAGCTTGTGTGTTTGATTTATTTCACTTACCATTATGATTTCAGGGAACAGCAACACAATTTTAGACAGATAAAGTCACCTTTTTGTGCTTCAGTAATCTTTTCCCACTCCCTTAATAGTATTGTAGTAATCCTAGTATTATATTTTATGTATTTATATGAGTTCATATATTCTTAAAAGGTAGAAATGGTGAATAAAAGAGTTTAGTTTGCTTGTATTCAGTTCTCCAAAGATTGCTGGATAGTTGGGGCATTGTGCTTCAGGACAGAACCAACAAGGAAGAATTGGAATGTGGGCCAGAGAGCTCAGCAGCAAAGTGAGGCCAAGTGGGAGAGCCATGGGTTTTCCTGGAGGCCTGCTCAGAGTTCTTCAAATAAATCACTTTTCCTCCCAGCTTCCTCTTGTCTCATAAGTAATTCTGACTCTCTTTAGACAAATTACAAAAAGAAATTTGTCAAGGAGAAAGGAAAGTCCAACTACTCCATCATGCAGGAGCCTCCAGAGGTGAAACATGCCATGGAAGTGGCCAAGAAGCAGAGTGACGTACGTTTCCCCTCATAACATCCCTGAGCCCACTTGTAGCGCATTCCAAACAGGCACATGCTCCTGTTCCAAAGTGTGCTCACCCTCAATTCTATGATCTGGTAGTTTAAAAAATATGGCGGTGGTGGTGGGGATTTGTTTCATTTTGAGTAAAAAGGTTGTTTGTGCTTAATGACTTTTGGAAAGACAGCATATCTCAAGTGAGTAAACATTTTCTTCCCCACATAAAGGTTGCTTACAAAAAAGATGCCAAAGAGAATCTACATTATACCACAGTGGCTGATCGGCCAGACATCAAGAAGGCCACGCAGGCAGCCAAACAGGCCAGTGAGGTAAGGGTTATAGTTAAAATGTCTCCAGTCCCCAGTGGTCTCTGCCACCAATAGTAGAAGGTGCTTATTACCAAGAATCCATTGCCCGTTTTGGTTTTCTTTGATCCAGGTGGAGTACAGAGCCAAGCACCGCAAGGAAGCTAGCCATGGTTTAAGCATGCTTAGTCGACCAGACATTGAGATGGCCAAGAAGGCAGCCAAGTTGAGCAGCCAGGTAATGCAGCTGGGCAAGTGGCAACTCTAGTGTGAAAAGATTTTGAAAACCTTATGAAAAAAGGAATTCCCAGAATGAAAGTGGATTATTAACAACCAAAGAGATATTATTGGTCTTTAATCGGAGTACAAAGCTTTGAAAAGTGCTGAGCACTTACTTTGTCTTTCTTCCCTCTAACCATTCTAGGCCTTTCTTATTCTCTACTTTGCCATTTATGCGTATGCATCTGAGTGTCTGTGTGCTTAACTATCATCATGTGACAAAGGGGACCTTACTCTAGAAAGTAAAATTTACATCTCCAGGGTCTGATTCATACTTGAGTCACTACAGGAGACCTGTTAACATGCAAAGGTCATGCAATTCTAACTTCTCAAATGCAACCAGATGATATAATTTTTTTTCTTTTTTGTGGGTGGGTAGATATGATAGTGCTGAGTGACCCAGGGCTTTGTGGGTGCTAGGGCCTTTGTGGGTGCTCTACCACTGAACTACACCCCCACCCCTTTTTAGTTTACTTTGAGACATGGTCTCACTATGTTGCCCATACTGACCTCAAACTTGCAAACCTCTTGCCTCAGCCTCTTGAGTAGCTAGGGTTACAGGCATGCAGCACTATGCCTGGCCAGAACCTGTATTCTTTCATGCAACATTCATGTATTGAATGCCTAGACTAGCAACTGAGGATGAGCAAATGTCTTCAGACTACATGTTTCTGGATAAATAATTACAATCTGGTGTGATGAGTGTTTGACCAAGAGTGCTCAGAGAATGTTTCCTTCTAGCAGATTTCATACTATCAAGGAGAAGATGGACATAGAAATGTGTTGTCCAAAGCTGATTGTCACATTGCCTAAGTTGCTTCTTTCAATCAATTATCTACAACGTTCTTAAGTTATGACAGGTTTTCAGACTTTACTGAGAGATCCCTACCACCAAATCTTGCAGACAGCAAATTTTGGTCCCATAGGACTTGAGCTCAAGAATATCATATTTCTCCTCCAATTTAGAAATCTTCCCTTCATCTTCTTCATTATCCATTCTCTTCAAGTATTTAAATAATAGGTTTGGAATACATACTTTTAGTTGTTGTATGTACTGACTTGCAGCAATATCAGACATGAGATCTCAATCTCGAGGAAGATACTGTATAAAGTATTAATGTCAAGTGATAAAGCAAGCTGGAATTATGAAAAAAAAAAGGTTCAGGTGATTGGTGACAAGCAAGTATAATTTGTTTTACAGTTTTTGTATTTAAAATTTCTATGCAGTATTTTTATTGTAAGTTAATAGAATCATATAACCATTTGAGACCAAGAAACAAAATCACTAACAGAAAACATTCTCTTAGAGTAAAATCTCTAAGAGAATGAAATGTTCCAAGAACTTATTTAAAATTTTTTTAGAAATTTTTTAATTACCAAAGTCATACTTTATCAAGTTAAAAACAAAAAAAATGATTTTGATGTTGAAATTTTGAAAACGTCACTGATTTTAAAAATCAAGAGGTTCATACTTCTAATCCCAAGTGAATTCTATGTTATGAAGAATGGAACCCAAAAAGATCCTTTTATGAGTTCATCTTCCTGTGAAAGGCTTGCCTCAGGTTTGACAGCTTAATAGTGTGGCCTCTGGCCCAAGGGGACCTCAACTATATGTGGGCTCTCCCCATTCTGATTTTGCCGTCTTGCTACATACTCTAGGCAAAATACTTCACACATCAAAGGAGAGGGCAAGGGCAAGGCACCACATCTTATGACACCCCTGTGGTGAGGCATCTTACGAAAAGTAATGTACTCATCAGTGATGTAAGACTGACACCAGCAAGCCCATACCTGTCTTTCTCTTTCTCACATCTACTTTCTTGCCTTTGATTGACAAAGTTGCACTTCTTTTCTATGGATTTTGTATTGGAATGTGTAGAATGCTGTGGAAATTTGTAGAAGGATAAATTTTTGTACACACACCCCTCTTTGCTGCATGAAATTTTCCTTCAGGTATGTACTTGGAATAAGAAGATAGATGAAATGTGGAAAGCTAGACTGTGTACTTTAGGCTGCTGACACTTGATCAAATTAAATGATGAAATGAAAACAAACAGAATCCATACAAATCATCTCCAACCATACAGAGAAAACGTTTGTTTCTTCTAAAGTTATTTACCATCTTTGGTATTTCAAACATTTAAGACTGTTAGTTGATATAGTCTCTTGGTTTAGACATACTATGAATCAACAGAAAAAAACCCACATTGTTTTGACCCAGCTTTTATGCTCTTTATTTTACAGTCTTCATACCAAGAACTGACACTTAATCTTTATAAGTACCAATATATAATTCTATTCTCCAAAAAAAAAATCTGAGCAATTAAATGCTAGACTGTTTCCAAAAGCTTTGGAAAAATATTGAATTCATAAACACTTCCCTACAATATATCCATAATAGGCCCAATATCTGAGCCTGATAGGATGACAGAATTTTGATCTTGCCCTTGCTGGTACATGGCATTGCAGTTACTTCACAGGCTTCTATGGTTTACAAGGAAAAGAAGGCTTTGGACCCACTCCATAATGCCACGTGTATACAGTGTTACCACCCTTACCACTTGATCCAACACCATTCTACGGCTTCCTGAAGTCCTGGACCCTTCAAGATAGAATAGTTCTTAAAGAGACCCAGCCCAGAAGGAAGGCCCCAAGTGCCGACTCAGACTTCTGTTAGCAGTGGTGTGCAGCTGCCTTTGCATGATGGCCTTCTTGTGGAGACATGAACTTTCTTCAAAGCTGGAAATTTAACTTGAAATTAAAGAAACTAAAGTGAAACCAGTGGAATTGCTGCTCCTCGGAATAAATATACCCTCACAAAGGAGTTAGTTTCCATGAAGATAGAAAGAGGATTTTCAGCAGACTTAGAACCAGATCTCACTCACACGCGAAGTCGGCCTCTGGCTTCTTTTCTCCCCGTACCTAACTGCGCATTTGGGCTACTTTCTCATTGGTGCTGCCTACTTTAAGGGAACATCCCATTTTCTGGGTTTCTGTATCCCTAAGGAGAAGTTGTCTTTTGGTCCAGATGCCAGCTCCCCACTTCTAACTCTCCTCCTCCCGCTCTCCATTTCTTTATCTTGAGAGCAAATGTCTTCCAAGGAAGAACTGTTGTAACATTGTTTTCATTTTGTCTTCCAGCAACTCAGCCTTTCTGTGTCTTAGTGTGCTGCCTTCCCCTGCACCATACTGTGTGCTTGTCTTCTCTCTGCGTTCTCACTCTGGAGGGATTCAAAGTAAATGAGTCTCAGCACTGCAAATATGTTTTATTCCGCATAGCAGATTTCACTGTTTTGGGTGGTTCAGTGGTCTCTCTTTGAGTCTCTTTCACTACATATGTCAAAGGTGGGGGAGGGAAGCACATGCTGAAGCGTGAGGATACTACCTTTAGATGCCCACAGAGTGAAATATACCAGTTACTCAGGGCTGGTATGCTGACTTTAAACAAGTGAAACTTTCATCTTACCAGTAATAGAAACTTGAGGCTCCCCTGAGAGTTAAATATTGCCTGTTAGTCAGCTAACCTATAGAAGTGGCTCATGTTCATTCTTCCTAGAGTGAATAACAAGTGGAATTCTACTTCTGGACTTAATCTTCCAATATTATTGACAAAGGCATCAGTCTGTTTTTCTTTAAGGAAAAGTTTCTGTCTCTCAGTTATGCAGTTTATTTCTCTTAGAAGACATTTTCTTTAGGTGTTTTACTTAGGCATAACAACTGTCTTTTCCTTTCATTCAACCAAATCATGTATTTTGAGAACTCTTAGTTCCAAGCACTATGCTTATTTTTAAAATTGAGTTTATAGTCAAAGTACTATTCTAAAAAATAATAAATTCCCCGAATATAATAGGTTTCTTATTTCTCAACCCTCTTGATCATTTACAACTCTTTTTCCAATTCCCCATAGTATACCTATGGTATTTTTGGTTTTGTTAGGAAATGCAAAATGCTCCAAATCAAGTGCATTAGATTGCTTCTCAGAGTTTAGCCTGATACCTTTTCCTCTTATTTTTATTTTGCATTATAAAGAGGTAATTTTCACACTTCTGGATAATATAAAAATAAGCAAGGTCAATATTATATCACTTGATATTATACTTGATTCCCTAGGCCCCCACATAACTATTAGTCATTAATAATGCCCCTTTTACTCTTAAAAATGTCCTAGTTTGGATAATAAATTACCTAATCCCTTTATGGATAACATATGCATATTCTTTAGCATTTATGTTTACTAGTCCATAGTTCCCGGATTGATTGGTTTTCAGGAATAATTTGGATGTTTGAATTTTCTATTAGGTTAAATACCGAGAAAATTTTGACAAAGAGAAGGGCAAGACACCAAAATATAATCCAAAAGACAGCCAGCTCTATAAAACCATGAAAGATGCTAATAATCTTGCAAGTGAGGTATGTTTTTCTGAAACTGATTAAATAATGTAACATATTTGCCATTTTACCCATGTTTAAGTGTATAACTCAATAGCATTAATTACATTCACAATGTTGTTCAACTATCACCATGAGCTATCTCTAAAACATTTCATCATCCCACACAAAATCTTATAACTCTGTCCTTTCCTCCTCTTAGCTCCTGATAGACTCTACTCTTCTTTCTGCTTCTATATATTTATCTTTTTTACAGATTTTATATAAGTGGAATCATGATATTGTTCTTTTTGTGTTTACCTTATTTTACTTAGTGTAATATTTTCAAGGTTCATCCATACTGTAACATGTATCAAAACTTCATTATTTTGTTTTGTCCATTCATCTATTAATGGACAGTTGGGTTTTTTTCATCTTTGGCTGCTGTGCACAAGGTATGATTTTTTATAACTATATCTAGCATTTGTTTCATGATGAAGTATCTTCGAGTTTCATTAGTGCTGCTTTCTGTTTTCTATTTATGTCATTTCCCTTTTTTCTCCCTTAACACATAGGTTAAATATAAGGCTGACCTGAAGAAACTTCACAAACCTGTGACTGACATGAAGGAATCTCTGATAATGCATCATGTCCTCAATACAAGCCAACTTGCCAGTTCTGTAAGCTCAATCATTTGTTCCAGAAACAACTTATTTCATTCATTTGCAACTCAGTTCCTTCTCTGAACTCACATGCACCTCCTTCTCGGCTGTTGATACACTAGATTCATTGCAAAGCTCTTCTGAGTATACTCATCCAAATTACAACATTAATCAACCAGTTCTCCATTGACTGTGATACCGCTCAGAAATAAAAAATGCTTCCTTTTTTGAAATATTTAAACTTTCCCCCCCCAATTAACTATTCCTTTTCCTCCTTCTATGGACATAGAACTACCACCTGAAATAGTTTTTCTCACTTTTAACTTTTCACACCTACTTTGAAAAAGCCATACAATTTGACCTTTTTTTTTTTTTTTTTTTGGCACTGGGGACTGAACTTGGATCCTTGCACTTGCGCAGCAGGCGGCAAAACCACTGAGCTAAATCCCCAGCCCCAGTTTAACTGTTTTTAATCTGGTGTTAACTGACAATACTAAACCCAGTTCTTCATCTTTTAAATTTTTTTCTTAATCCTTCAGTGTTTGCTAATTTTAGTTTGGTCTTGACAATGCTGGTATGAAAATGTCTAATCCAAAGAGAAAAAATAGGAATCCTGAGCAGCTTTTCAACTCATGTGCCTTTTTTGCCCCCTGCCCCAGTACCAGTACAAGAAGAAATACGAGAAGAGTAAAGGCCACTACCACACAATACCAGATAATCTGGAGCAGCTTCATCTAAAAGAAGCCACAGAGTTACAGAGTATAGTAAGTTGATCAAGACTGGATTTTCCTCTGATACACATTCATCTACGATGTCAAAAATTTCAGGAATTCACTCAAGGATAGAAGTGATGCTTTTTTTATTAGCACATATTTTTAGTATATAATGATTATATTATAATTACATTACATTATAATTATTACATTATAATTACATACATTACAATGTACATTATAATGATTATAGTATACAATGATTACAATTATTGTGGGAAGTTAGTACGTGTACATATCTTAATTCTTTCTCTCCCTCACTCTTTTTTTTTTTTTTTTAACTTTTTCCTCCTACCCTTGCCCTGCTCCTTCCAACTGTTGGTTCCCTTCCCATTTGCAAAGACTATATATTTTAATCATCTTTTTCATTCCTTTCCCCTCCCTACTCTGCCTACCTCCATCATGTGTTCCCCTATTGATTTAAAAAAGATCTCCCTACTTCCTCTTTATCTTCTATTTTGCACATGCTCTCTCTCATATATATATATTGCTCTTTATACATATTACATATATATATCTTTTAATAGCTATTGCTTGAAAACACTGCACAAGGATAGAGAGCTTTGAATTTACAAACATCTTGAAATAAATTATTATAAACGGTAATGTCATTTACCTATCATGGAGAAATATACATGCAATGTGTTATTCAGGGTATAATAGGGCTGGAAGCATGAAGAGTGAGTTATGAGAGAGAAACTCCTCACAGGAACTCCCATATCTTCTTTGGTCTTTGTCTCAGAATAGGAAGCACTAAAGGATGACGGGGAGTCTTGGGAAGGTTTTAATGAGAGAGGTGACATGATGAGATCTACCACTGAAGGAATCTGTAGATATTTAAGAAATTGTTAAATTTGTCAAATAATTGGCCATTCCACCGCTCCCAGCCCAGAGGAAGGGGCTTCCGGGCCGCCATTCGACTGCTCCCAGCCCAGAGGTAGGGGCTTCTGGGCCGATGTCCCACCGCTCCCAGCCCGCAGGAGGTGAGCCATGTGGGCGCCAAGAGCACACACACACACACACCTGTCAAAATGAGAAGACACGTAAACAAGTCTCAGAACCAGACTTCCAGATCACCTACAGCAACCTCAAAGGGAAAAGAGATGGAACGGTCTGATATTCAACCCACCTGGACTCCCTGAACTGGCAACAAAAGAGGATCTGGAAAAAATGAAATCAGAAATAATTTCTCACATAGCAGCAGAGATTGTACTCATAGTGCAAGACATAATTAATCTAGAGAAGACACAGATAAAAAAATAGAGGCACTGAGGAACATGATGGAATCCCAACATAGGAAACAAATGAAATCCATAAAACAGATACAAACAGATTTCCAGGAGATGAAAAGCTCCATTGAAAGTCTACACAGCAGAATGAGCCAATGTGAGGACAGAATATCAGATATAGAAGATAAGATTGCAATTAGTGACTAGGAAAAGAAAAAAATCCTTCAAAATTGTAAGGGACCACAAGAAATCAATCCAGCAGTTACTAGACGATGCAAAGAAGAATAACATAAGACTGATTGGAGTCAATGAAGAAAAAGAGAATGCACATGACATAAAAAAAAAAACTATTCGCAGAAGTAATGGCAGAAAACTTCCCAAGCAGGGGAAAAGAACTTGACATACAGATAAGTGAGGCATATAGGACTCCAAATAGCCTTGATCAAAAAAAATCTACACCTAGGCATATAATTGTTAAGATTCCAGAAACCCAACAGAAGAACAAAGTTCTACAAGCAGAGAAAAGAAACAAATCACAAAGGAAAGCCCATCAGATTTACAGAAGACTTCTCAACATAAACCCTCAAGGCAAGAAGAGCTTGGAGTGATTTATTCTAAGCCCTAAAGGAAAACAGCCTCCAACCCAGATTAATGTACCCTGTAGAACTATCTTTCAAAATTGATGGAGAAATAAGATACTTTCATGATAAAGAGCACCTTAGGAACTTCATGAATACCAAACCAGCACTCCAAAAAATTTTAGACAATATCCTAGGAACAGACAATAAGGATCACAACCCCAGGAAGCACAGCACAATGAATCCATCAGGCAGGACAAGAAATTAAATGTAAGGGGAGAGAATCCAACAAAAAGAAAAAGTCGTGACAATGATAAGTCAATATGTATCAGTTATAACCATCAATGCTTTTTTACTGATATACAGAATTTATTAAGCTTTGCACATGTAATAGAGCAGTTTCATTTGCATCCCTAATGCTAGCAAAAGCTCTAGCAATCAAGAATGGCAGCACATCATTTTATAACAATCAACATTGTAGCTTTTTAAAATTTGGTTTTCAGAAGAATTTATCTTCAAGTAAATCTAGTCATGCTTTTAAAAATTGCTTTAGGTCACTCCAAGCTTGCCAGTTAACATTTGGCATAAACAAGAAAACAATCACAATTTGATAAATAACAGATAACACTGTAAGCCATAAACATACAGCATAAGAAAATGGTGGTGTAAGTCAGTAGTTATTAAGTTACTAGAGTACCTTAGCCTCTATGCAGAGAGTTTGATTCACTAGCCTGGACACCCAGTTTTCAAATTAAGAGCAATGTCTACAGTATCATTTCTAACATTGCAAACAAGCAGAGAAGGAGGAATTCATTTTTGTTTTTTTGGTACTGGGAATCAAACTCAGGACCTTGTGCTTGTGAGGCAGGCAGCAGAACAACTGAGCTAAATGAGGAATTCATTTTTATTAATAAATTACACCCTCAGGAGTTAGAATCAACACCTTAGTATAAAAATGTTCGAGCTATATCAGTTATAACTGTGCTTATTTTAAAAGGTGCTAAATGGATTAAAGGGAGACAGCTATGCTTCCCCTAATGTGATTGATCTTACCATGTTTATAGTTATCAAGACCTAAAACTTCAGGTGTTTGAACTGAACATTGATGAGCACACTTACATTTCAGCCTGATATGCTAGACTCTGTTATTTGGTCAACTGTCCATTTGCTCTGAAATTAAAATTTTAATATTATCAAAAGTTGATATAAGTGGCATAATAACAAATATGCTGAAATGGTTATAGTCACAAATGGCAGTTAACAAGGATATGGGGAAATCCCACTCCCAAGTCACCCACTAGTTGGAATTACTGTATATACTGTCACACAACTATAACAAATTGGATTTAAAGCTGTTTACTTTAGTCTGGCATCTTCACACACCCAAGATATGTACCTTATATGAAAACAGTGATTATTCAAAAACAAAATTTGTGTAGCTGTTAAGTTCTTCCCTTAAATGTAAATAAAATGGCACAGAAACTTTTAATAACTAGGACTCAGAAAATTTGAAAGAATAATTTGAGTTAGGAATCAAATATACAGAGTCAAAGAAGGGAAAAAAATCATCTAGAAAACAAAAATCCAAGTAGCATCTCAGATGCAGGGCAATTTTGTGAAGTAGGAAAGCAACTATGATCACCTGCAGCTTCTCAGATCATTCTAGCAAGTGTCTCCAGGTACTACCTGTTGTCTGTGTAATAGTATTTCCCTAAATAAAGGGCCTTGCATGCACATTCAGCATGTTTCCTGCAAGTAGAAGTGAAGATATTTTCATTTTGTTTAACTCACACACTATTTGGTCAAAGAAATATGTAAAGCTAAATAAAAGCACATTTAGTAGAAATCCATAGCAATGAATGTGGACAAGATGTGCGTGGATCTTGCTTGGAGCATCTGGCAGTGGGCAGTGGAACAAAGGTAGCAATCTTGCAGGCTCTTCTCTGTCTGTTCTGGAGGTGGCTCCATGGCAGTGGCACTAGCATTTGCAGTTGAATTCAAGACCTCCAAAATCACCACCGGCAGAGTTGGTTCCCCCTACTTTAGACTTTTAAGTTTTTGACCTTTTCTTCAAATGACTTGAGAGTTGGGGAATTTTTTACATCTTCCAGCTTTTTGGTGATAACAGAGCCAACAGATGAAAAGGCCGTTGAAGCCTTCTGTCCGGCCTGAGATGAGGTTTCAGAGGTCTCCCTGTGTGCAGACCTGGCTGTCACATCCTGCCACCCTTCGGCAATGTTCTGCTTTAGCTCCTGTAGTGAACCAATCCCAAGTTTCCACTTGATCTCTGCTAGATGCTTCTCTTTTGCTGCTAACACATGAGACAGAGTTTGGATTTCTTCTTCCACCTTTGCCAGCTCTCTTCTCAGCTCATCCTGCTCCTCTTCTGAGAGCATCTCCATGGCGCTGAGCATGGCTGCAGCATCTTCTCCTTCAGGTACTAGGTCTGTCCTCCAAAAACCAGGTTTCCCAGTAGGTGATCTGGGTGGAGACGAATTCCCACTAGTGGACAGGTAGAGGTAGTTTTTTTCACTCCTGCATTGAAATCGAATGAGGCCTGGTAGTCTTCATATAAGTCTGTGTCTCTGTGATCCATCATCCCAGGCAGAGGCAGAGTGCATGGCTTTACAGCCGCCAGAGCTCCCCCCACAGTCACTCGCCCCCTCGGCCTTATTCCCTTTGCCCTACCTTGCAAGCTAACTGAAACTGTCTTTGCAGTTTGGAGGCCCCACCCCAAACCTGAGCATCCTGGCTCAGGTGAACCATCAATGTTAATGGTCTCAATTCACCAATCAAAAGAAATAGACTGGCAGAATGGGTCAAGAAGCAAAATCCAACAATATGCTACATACAA